AAATATATTTCAGGGGGATCAACCTGGGTCAATCTGCATTCCTATGTACTATGTCCGGTTCCACGTACTGCAGGTCTATATATCACTTCCGATGCATATATACCTCTAAGATAGAAGTATATATGTACTATAGAGCTTGAACGATGGATTGAATGTGTAGTTCCAAGGGTATCATGTACCATATGGTAATATATAAGCTATATATTATAAAGCTTATAGTATCTACCTCCTGATCTTTCCCTGTCTTCGTATTTCACTTCTGGCAACTATATAATGTATAAGTTCACCTTTACTGTATACGTCTACTATATATCATACAATACAGTAGAGACAGATACGGGTCGCCAAATACATTGAAAAATCTATATGTAGAAGCAACCCCTTTAATGAGATATAAAGGAGCTTCACGCCGCGGGAGGAATTATTGATTCTGAAACAAATATAACATTACATATATATATTTTATATCACTAAATAAATTCTGTTTATTCTTTACTGATGACAGTGGTGCTATCATTAATAATATGGGGCATATGATAAGAATTATAGAAGAATATATATAGAATTATATAAGAATTATATATCTATCTAATATATATATGATAAGAATTTTATGGAAGAAAAATTTAATGTTACGTATGTTTTATCACCATTTTTTTCGTCGTATATTTCCACACGAATATGGCATTTTATATTTTTCAGTTCGATATTATTGCCGAATCTCAATTTAATGGTAAATGATATCCCAGGGTTGGATAATTTAGCGGGCGAACTTTTATAGTTCTTTTTCGGCTGGATGCCTATATGCTCGCCTCGTTACTTTTTATGCCACGGGAGCGCAAGCGTCGCGTGTCGCCTGATAGCTTGCCCATATCCCGTAATACCGGGAACATGGCTGAAGTCATGCTGAAGTTACGTGAAATTATGGCTTTGGAGAGCGACGGTGGTGATCGAGCAAAGTGCAAATACGTCGAGAGTGTAGGGGATCGAGAAACGTATAATAAATAAGAGAGACATGAATAAAGCACGTAACGTTTACATCGGAAATTGACGGATATCCAAAAGTAGCAGATGCCGATGGATATGATATTGGACGCTGTAAGATATCTACGAAAAACTATGTAAGACTTAGCTAAATAGCCTCTATGAAATTTTATTAGCGCGATACTTGACTCTGTAGACAATCTAACCTGAAATTGGCCGATTACGCTACAGTAAGGGACTCGGTCGGTAAAGTCGTTGTTTGTATTCAATCGTGATAAAGGCAATTGTCGCCACAATGGAAATACACACGATGAATCTTTTGAATCTTTTAGCGTGGCAAGGGAGATTTACTAAATAAATTATTTATTTGACGTGAGGTTTACTGTGAAAGTGGTAGCTTTCGAAGGGAATTGTTTCTCTATTGGATTTAAATATAGGGGCGGATAACTTATTTAAATAATAACACGATTGTAACGGTCGAAATTTTTTAGAGTTTCGGATGATGAATTTTGACAAAAATAATTATATTTTGTAACGTATTTTCCTAACCCGACACCGATAATGAAAATCCGAGAACTAACCTACGTCACCTTCGGCCGTCCACCCTTCGTCCATGCACCCGCATGCCAAGCAGCCGCCAGCCAGTTCTTTTTTCGTCGGGAACTGACCAGCCGGTATGACCTCGGAGTTGACATGGAACAACTTCGTCCATGCATGCCAGGCGGTCGCCAGTCAGTTCCTTTTTGATCGGGAACTGACCAGCCGGTACGACCTGGGAGTTGAGGTAGAACAGTCTCGACTCCGCCAAAACGGGAGCTCTGACGGGACCTATCGGAAGAGACGACAGCTTAACGGATCCTGTTTGTTTTTGGAGACGCGTCAAATCAGCAAACGCAACTGGATGCACGATCGGGAGCGAATGGTCACGGAAATGCACGACCGCTTAGACTGCTCGATTGAAGTAGAGAAGGGGTCGGAGTAAGCGTCAGGTATTATAGTGCCGGAAACAGAGTGCAATTGATCGAGAGCGTAACAGAGCGAATCGGAGCTATGAAATCGAAATCCCCCCACCAATTAATTAATTGAATGTGGCATCGGGTGACTTTGCCGGTCCATGGAGACATCTCCGTGGTGTACTCTCCTCTACCGGGCGACTCGGTACGTCGAGATTCTCTCTCCACGGCAGATTCGAACACCTCGACCTCAGCTCAACAATAAAAAATCTTTCGAGAGCATCGGCGTAGCTGTACGAATCAAGCTCAGAGCGTGGCTTCTGATCAGGGTGGCGACTCGAAAGGAAGCAAAAAGCGAGAAAATTGTCTGAACCGATAGCTGAAGCCGCTTTGTGACCGTGAGTCGAAAATCACGTGACAATATGTAATATGTGTAAGGTGGATTTGCACTGAGCTATCCTATAACCGAGTGCATCGAACATGCAATTTAATATTGGCTGAACGTACAAAAACTTCCTGATCAGATTTAATTAAACGGGGATTCAAATGCGCTTCATCCGTACCTATGATTATACGTGAGCTATGACAGTGTGGACTCCTTCAAATTTTACTGAAATGCACTTAGCAAGTTGGCGCCGTTCAAAATTCGTGGGCTGCGTACTCTGTTCTTCCCACGAGTTACAAGCTGGGGCTTCATTAATTTCTGTAGTTGGAAGAGGGGTGCCATTTTTTTCCTACTGAAAGCTTTAAGTGATATTCGCTCTGACGCAATGAGAGCTTTCTATTATAATGATTATTATTTCTTTGTGACGTCCTCTCGCTAGTCTCTCTCTCTCTCTTGAAATCGTTCAACCACCCTATTATATTACGTCAATAAAGTTGGAACCGCTAAAGTGGAAGATCGAAATAAAATATATTGCAAAATTAGGAGTTACTTAGGAGATAATTAGGTGGCCTAATTCAAATTTTAGGTCTCCACCCCTTTGGTCGAAACCTGTGGCAGTGCTAGCTCAAAAAAAGTTGGAAAAGTTCTCAATAGCTCATAATCTTGCAATGTCCTAATTTTATTTTGATTCTCGACTGTGGCGGTTTCAGGTTTATTAACGTTATTATATTTCGTGGCTAAACGAACATTTTTCTTTTATACAATTTCGCCCTTAGGCTAAGGATTTCAAAGATGTGTATATTCGTGTGCGTGGGGCTGACGTGTATCCAGATCGCCGCACTAAGAGGCTGCTTTGAAATATGAATTTGAAAGGGTCGGTTTTAACGCGGTTCCCATATCCAGAGAGAAAGAGAGAGAAAAATAGTGACCAAAAGCTTGGTTCTTGCACAAAAATCTAGAAGCAGTTCTTTTAGCGGGACAAAGGAAACCTTTTCATTTTTATATTATACCTGGTAAATTATTATATGCCGTTAGGTAAATGGAAATTGCATTTACAGATATATTATACACACCGACCTTAATGCACTGCTGTGCTTTCTTCTGGAATTTTTATTATTAACTTTTTATACATTCTCGCACGTTCTTCTCCGCCATTCTCAAAGAATTCTTTACTTTTCTTCGTCTTCAACTTGCTGTATGAGTACCAAGTGCCAAGGCTCTCTTGGAAACATAGCTTTACGTTCCTGACAAGGGCACAACACGTGCAAATTATCTAAAAGAAAAGTAGCACAAGGTTAGATAATAAAGTGCATCTATATTAAATGCATCGTATGCACTATGCAACTGTAGCTTTCGAAATCCACAATTTTCTCGTAAAGCTTTTTATGAAACTCTTCAAGTTTGCCCGTGTAAACTTTGACCCTTTTCCTTGTCCAATCTTTCTTCTTATCCCGTCCCTCCTCTCTTTCTTTTTGACAAGCTTGCAATGTATGTCCTGAAAAATTATAAAAGCCCAAAATTATACGCTACCGAATAATTACTTCTTCTTCTTCTTGTTCCTTATGGCTTTATGCCCTCGTAGACGGCCAAGTGCCAGACCGAATAATTACCGCAACTCATCGATTCAATGGAGACATTCACGAGTGTTATTAAACGCATCAAAAATGTCCACGACACTAGTTCCATCTATGATATCCCATAGAAAAGTTCATAATAGTAGTTCCATCTATTGTATCATGGTTTCATCGTAAGCGCACCAGGTGGCGCTGTACTAACCTAAGCGCATCGATTCTCCATAAAAACCAGATCTAGAATTTAATGGCGATTCGTGCAATACGACTGCTTGAAGTCATTACCTATTTCATAGCTGGGTCTATTCGCGTAGTCATTCGCAATGGCGATCATAAATTACAGAACTCCCTACCGTAATAATCTATCTGACAAGCAGTAAGCTCGTCTTTTCATACTTGAAGGGGATATTATTCCATAAAGTCCATGCACCTGGTACCCGCTATATAAATTTGTACAACGTATTGCTCGGTAGTTCAGAATATTTGGCAGGAGTGCCAACCGACGATAATCTTACCCTAATAACGGAATGACCATCGTCCTTAATGAAATCCTTAGGGATAGGGATAGAGAGAGAGAGAGAGAGAGAGAGAGAGAGAGAGAGACAGAGACAGAGAGACAGAGAGAGAGAGAGAGAGAGAGAGAGAGAGAGAGAGACAGAGAGAGGAGTATGGAATTCTTGCTGCTCTGAGAATCGTCTGTCATCCATCGAAACGTGAAACGTCCCTTTGGGAAAATACGGTTGTCAGCATTCGTACGACTAGTCGTGTTGGTAGTATATATATATATATAATTGTAGATCATAAAGGAATATATGTAATATATAATTTAATAATAGATGATAAATGATTTTTGTGATTTCCTCTAATAAGCCATTTAATGTAAATGCTTCTCGGGACGAGCCGTGAACGGTAGATCGTTTTCCGGTCGAGCAGCTTCCGGTCTCTAGTCATCTCCGGGATTCCTGATGCCATCCCATCTCTTTTTGTCAATCACGAGAAAATGCTCGAAAGATAAAAATATACGTGAAGAAGAAATGATGTGTGTGTGTATATATATATATATATATATATATATATATATATATATATATATGTTTTTTCTCTTAGGATTCAGAATTGTGCATCTCTCTTGGACTCAGCCTTCAGTACGTGCGTGTCTCTGTCGTCTGCTGGCTTGCTGCTATGTGTCATCATCTTTATGCAACTGTGGCATCTTTACCATGCTGTGACGATGCACCGGCTTATCTGAAATACAGCATCTTTGCCTGGGGTGCACCCATGATCAGCTTTGGCCTAGCTATACTTTTGCAGCGTCAAGAGAATCATGATTTTTGGGACATTCATGATCTTACGCCATTTAATTGCTGGTAAGATCAATCTGTTAAATGTTAATATGTGCTTTTAGGCAGGATTTTTAATTTCATATTTATTTATAATTTTTAGATTTAGAGATTTTTCGTACTATGGGGATGATCCTTGGTTTAAATGTATTCAGCGCCATACTGGATTTGATATCGGATATGTCGAAGCAAAGGCGAAGACTTTGTGGCGAGATTGAATCTGTCGGTTCTTCGCCAAAGTTATCCACTAAGAGCTGACGGTACCCAATGGCAGAATGATATCAAACAAAAGGAATCAAAGTTTGAAAAATTCCCAAGTTCTATCCAGTGCGTTAGAATTTAATTGAAATTCTGATTCATAATGAAATTGAAGCAACTTATTGTTCGTCCTTTTATAATTTCAAGGATATTTATTTTTTAATACGAATTCAGGTACTTTCTTTTGTTATCGTTTAAGAAATATTTTTACAAAATTATAAGGATATCAACATTTTTTTTTTTATTATCGAGTGGTGGTACCAATTCATTAGTCATATGGCATAAAGTTATTTTTTCTGTTTATCGCTCATGGAAAACTTAACTCCAATATTTATTGGACATTCTTTACATATTATCTGCACAGGTTCTTGGGTTCTAAGGCTACCGTTTATACTTATGGTATACCAGTAGTTCTACTTCTACTCGTCTCTGGATATTACCTTCTCAAGGCAGCCATTGTAGCAAGGTATACCTATAGCTTTTACGCATACTGTACAAGAGTGAAGAAAACACCATTACTGATAGCGTATTTCCCTTTGCAATTTAACCTGTAAGTATGAAGATCCTGTATTTATTGTATTTGTTATTTCAAGGTACACGTGCAGTATGCAGCTGGAGGTGAAGCGGCGTGAAAAAATGAAAAGGAGACGAGCACTGCAGTTGGTACTATTTTTGAAGGTCAACCTTATCATTGGATCCGTCGCTGGTTGTGGAGTAGCGGCACGCGTTTGGGAAATTCCAATTCTCTGGGCTATATTCTGCACAGGACACTCATTGCAGGTATGAATATTTATCATGAGTTTGATTATATAAACATTATTAGAAAATTTGAGGAAACGGAGGTAGTACTTTTTCTTTGTATTTTCTAAAAATAGGGTCTGGCTGTCGCTCTGTCGGTAGCCTGTAACTGTAGGGTACTGAAGGTCTACGCGAGAAAAGCTCACAAGCAACCAAAGCATCAGGTAGACAAATAAAGTTTTCTGCGAGAAGAAATCAAATTTATTAATTATGAATTTTTGTTTTATGTAAACCGGGTCTACTTCTTCTTTTCAGATTGCTAAGTCGTCCAGTATGCAATTACTGGCACCGCCCCCGGATCCGGTGTAAATAAAAAAAATTTACGTGTTTAAAGAAACTGGATTTGAGAAATTTCATTTCTGGGATATTAAAGCCAAAGAATATCAAAAAGAATGATGGGGGCTTTTCACGATTTTTTTCATCGAGTTAATATTACGGATTTATACTTTACCCTATATCGGCATCCGATAGCTTGAGACCCATGAACAAGTATTGCAATACAAAGTACAAAAATTATACTTTGAAAAAGAAGAAGGATGGAGTCATTGCTGCTGAAAGACAATGAGAGAAATGAAATATAAAGAAATTATCATATTAAAATCGTCCCCTCTGTCAATGGACAATCAATAGTCCATAATAATGATACCAACGATATCATTCACACATCCTTCTCCATATGATACTCATAATCTCCAATCCGTCATGAGTCATGGATATGAAAGATACAAAAAAATGGTCCAGCAGCGGATCAACATATCAGCATAAAAATTTATGTAAAATTTTGAATTTTTCATTTGTCCCAAGAATCAACGGTGCGTAGATTAATAACCACAGCCACAGGGATTCATTAAAATGGAAAACTGATTGATGAATGAATCCTAAAATAATATTAAAAATTAATATACTTCTATCCTGATATTATTCTTTTCGCAATCCTACTTCAATTCCCTGTAGATCCTAGGAAAACAAAATTTTCTCTCTTCCGGGATGTTCAATTAAAAGAGGTTGGGTGTCCTGTCTATTCCTTAAGGAATTCCTTCAATTCTCTCAGGATTTAGTAAAAGTCTACTAAGGCACAGATTAAGAGCAGTCGAATCACGTGGCTCTTTGTCTTATTTTCATAGTGACTTAGTCTTCTACGCTACAGTAGTGACAGCACTGAAAAAGATATCGACGTTATCCTCGAGGCGAATCGGCTGTTTAGACAGAAATAATGTGACACTTTTTTTCAGATATCCTTTTTGTCCCTTACCATTTTTCGCTTTGTTTATGAATGCCATATTTTCTATCTTTCTGTCCACTTTCAAAAAGGGTAAAATAGTTTTGATTATTGTGATAGACATTTCAATTTTTTTTATCAATACTCGATTAAGTAACTTTCAGGCAATGTAATGTAATTAATACAGTGTATATTCGTGTAATAATCCAGTAAAGACAAATAAATATTTTGAAAGCGATTCAATTCTGGATTTATGTTGTGGTCAAAGTTTAATTTACTTATTACTACCTAGTGTGTTGATTAAGTAATAATTGCTTGTCTCAATACTTATTGTCAGTGAACAATGAATAGGTCCAAGAGTAAACTGGTTAATTCTATCTGCTGTTTACCCTATACAGTTTCCTATCAACATAGTTAACTCTTCCATGTTCAAAGTTTTGATAGCGTCGACATTACCAAATAGTTCCAAGGCAATTTGAACTCAGATTGTAAACTCCATCGATCAGCTCGTTTATATGAAAATGAAAAAATACTTTCCGCTTTGAGATATTGCGTTGATATCTCTTTCCGGGGATTCCCCTCTTTGTAAATATCAGAGAGTTATAAAGTGTAGATTATTCGATTCAATAAAATGTCCCTGATAGTTATAATTTTGTCCAACAAAATCTGATTCGTCAATGAACAAAATGTCTATTTCTTTTCAGCGTGGATAACTATAAGAAAAAAAAAGGCTGATTTTAATGAAATCTCAAATCGTACCACGTTGGGCAATTCTGTGGCGAGAAAGCTCGATTTAACGAACTGAAAAAGTTTCATTTACCGTGACGATATCCATTCTCTTATTCTCTTTTTTTTTTTTTGAGAAAATGTATTCCCCGCACGAAACCGACGCGGGACGCAAGACGATTATCGGGGATACTCGTAAAAATGTTTGCACTCGAGCAGAAGAAATTGCAGGCCCCGGCACCCTCTTTATATTTAAATTTTCCAAGGCTTATCCCGCGCCTTGGGAGGGCGAAGGGTTTAATGGCTGTTGAAAGAAAATGAAAACCCTTCGGCTTTGACGATCCCTTTAAAAACAGTTTCAAAAAGGTTCAACTTGTCCTCGATGATACCATCCGAGAAATATCTCACCCCTCTCTCGAATAATAATAATAAATCTTTGTAATACCCTCAAGTAATTTCACTATACATCGTAGGAAGGGGTTTTAGCACAGATTTCGAGAAAGTCATACTTGACTCTGACGAATCCCTTCTCCTTAACTGTTTTCTTGGCAAATCAAATCACCTTGAGTGAAACGTATGAAAATTTGCTTGATCGACAAAAAATATTAAATTCGATCATCTTCCAATAGATTACTGTCAATTTTACTTATTATGCAATTCCAGACGTCATTTCAAATCGTAGACTTTATCATCCCCTTCGACGTGGAATTTCTGATATGAGATTATTGCTCTGTACTCTTGCATACCTGCGTGCTTGATTTGATATTCATCGAGAGAATCGACATGGCCGTTATCGATATGCAGAGGTGTCGTCATTGTTGGATGAATTGCAGAGCACTGGAATGAGAGAATGATCGATCGATCTTAAAATTACTCGAAAGAAAGAATTTAAATTATCAATGAAATTTCAGACAAGGATTGTTTGGTGGTGTACATATAAATGTGTGAAAAGTCGAAGAAAAATGTGAAATTCACGAAACAAGGATACGGCTGATATAAACAAAATTTATGAATTTTAATAAATTTTTTTTCTACACTTCTACAGCACTAGTCCCTCATGCTTCTACTACGTTGGTAAGTAAAGAGTATCGGGTATTAATTCAAGTCAGTCCAATTTCTACCTTTTCTGCTTATTCTCTTCTCACCGTCAGAGACAACTCGGTAAAGAGAATACCAAAAGTGAATTCTTCCTCGAGTAAAACATCCCTTGTAATTTTATCCTTCAAATTAAACCGTCCGAGCAGTCTTCTTACGAGTGACAAAGCTACGTCAGCAGTTTCCAGGCGCAACAGACTTGACTGCCAGTAAAACTAAGTAACGGCCGGCAGGCAAGCAAGTAAGAGGCAGTTCCGAAATTTACTGACAGTACTGTGAAATTAGTTACATCTCTCTTAGATATGTATAGATGAATAGGACACAGTGCCAGTTTCAATACTGGCAGTAAATTTCAATACATATCCTGTCTTATGTCGTAAGGAAGTGACACTTTCGGAAGCGGGAAATTTGAATTTGTTTACGCGATGCTTCGCAGACAATACGGTTATTCTCCGAGCATAGAACTCTGCGTCCTTGACATTCTCAAGGATTCTCAAATATTTGATGAAGCGCTCGCATACAATGCGATTGGGTCGAGGTTCTAGAATTTCCTTGAAAGAGAAAAGAGGCGGTGACGGGATCCTGGTGCCAGGGTGTCTGGAGCCACTACATCGACCGGGACGGACTCCTACAATTTAGAGGAATCCCAACCGACGCCAGAGTATCGTCAAGGCCGAGCCTAACGCTAAATTCATTAGTGATAAATATTGATAAATTAAATAATCTTACAGATAGTCTAATAATTATCGTAGACGTAGATCATAACCTCACACTATGTTCAAAGCGCTATAACGTTTATCCAATACCGATAACGTACCTTACAGACAAGTATCTGTACCAAGAGTCCTAAAAGTTATGTGAAACTTACTATAGGCATACATAATCTATGTTCCCGTGTTAAAGGGATATAACTGGACTCTGACAAGTATGTACCTACCCATGAAACTTCCTAAAGGATCTCTCACAAGGAGTTAAACGGGGAGGCTCGTATTTCTAAATAGCAAAAAGCTTGGCAAGAGCCTAAATCCCCTTTAATGCCATCGTACGGTTCTATACTAATCCTTCCCTGCGCCTGGATGTACCTTATACCTCTGCTACCTTGCAAAATGTCTACTTTGCCAGGAAAGTTGAACCCAATTATCCAAGGACTATCCATAAGTTGGACCATTGGTCTTGTCTGCCACTGGAAATCGTTAACCTCGTTAAACTCTTATTTGATTGCGATTAATTTCATCTGAATAGATAGATAATATGATACATGTTGTTACGAAAAAAAAAAAAAAAAAACTTTATAGAGATATTACTTTTATGCCATTAATTAATATCCAATCAGGAATCAATTATGTCGTCGATAATTTTGGCCGATCGATGTTAAACAGAGCACGTGGTGAATGATGGCTTCCAGGCACTGCCAAGGCGTCTGTACGGACATAGGTTGTCACATTGGATACCGTGGATCACATCTGCAATAATAAATTTTAAATATGTAAACAGCTATTGAGGTTATGTAAATAATGGTTTAATGTATTCGTCCCGTTAATCATACTATAATGTATAACCGTTACCATTATAATTGAAGATTGTAATTTTCATTGGTAACAAAATGCCTGGATACGTCCACCTGGAACAGAATAATAATATCGTTTCAATTACTGGTCGAATATTCATGAATACTTTCCACAATTCCACACGGTTGAAGCTAAATACTCGTCATGCCAACGTTACCACGAATTCCAAGCGTTACTACTCACGCAACGTGAAATTCCGCCTGAAAATTAGTACTGCGTTAATTAAATAAACAGCGCTAATGAAATTGGTGAAGTAAAGAGAAGAATATTATGTATTTCATTAAAAAATTTAACGTATCTCCAAATAATACCAAAGAACAGGATAGAGGGAAATAATGGAACAGTAAAATATACGTAATAGAAACTTTTAAGTAAACCATTTAAGTGTCTAAATACAGCAAAGTTTAATATTCTTGTTGTTATTGTGTTGTTTGTCCGTAGCATAAACAGTCGGTATAGTGAACAGCTGCCGGTATGTATTATAGCCAAAGCTCGAACGTGTCTGTGTTGTTTCACTTTAATAAATCCATCTAGGCTGTCATCGAAAATCCCTTTTAGACGCGACAACCTAACCTAACCTGAAAATCTATAGAAACACTTTCTATGCTATCCGCAAGTCACGTTCAATTGTCCATTAGATTTTTGAGTAAAGGAGAACCGGCCATCTTGTATCGATACTTCGATTCTATTTCGATATATTATTACATAGGTTACGTTTCGATATTTACTGTCGATACCGCGGATACGATTGTCTCACTCAATTGACGTGACGATGCTTCTAGTCGCTGGCAGTGACTTTCGGAACACATTTTTTATGAGTAAATTCATTGACATTTATCGATGGTATCTTTGGCCTTATTGTCTTATAAGAAATAACACGTGTAGGAGTAGGGCACGATACCTTTGCCACTGCACGTAGGTTGTAAGCTATACATTTTTTATTGGCTCAAGAAAATAAAAGTGGCATTCAGCTCGAAGTGTCGAAAGAAAAGTGCATTCAGAATAATTCCTTTTATTGATCTGTTTACGTATTCCGTATATATTTGAACATACATATATACTGTGAAAGGGAATAAGTATATCGTATACTGCTTTTCAATTTGACTGCTCGTAAACCGTTCTGTAGATACAGTCTACTGTATTTATTTTAATTTTGCTGTACTTATTTTTTCAAGGTAGAGGTAACTTTTTTCGGATTTTTTCGTTCTCTTTCATATTTAACATTACAAAATAAATTACGCTGCCTGCTCCTAATGGATTATATTTTGAAAGTACCTGTACGCTATACTTTATAGTGATTGTTGATGCATATTTGTTACGTCAATCCTAAGTCAATTGTCGGACATGATGGATGTCAGTGTAATAAATTTTTTGTTCAATCACTATATTATGAGTGCTGTTAATATTGACAAAAGTATTACCAATCGACATGAGTTCACTGTTGCGAACAATTTCTGTAGTCGTTAGCAACAACCTTTCTTTTTAAATAAATATCAGCTGTTTATCAATCTCCGATAAGAAGTTTTGAAAAAATTGCCAACAATTTTACCAGTGCAAAAAGTAAGTATAAGAATTTCACGGAATTCAATATTGTTCTGAAGATATGTTTTAATTGACAAATTCCCTTAACATATATCCAGAGAAATGAAAAAAGGTAACACGCGGGTTGAAGAAACGCTTGAAAAAGAATTCCTGTAATTCAACGAATAAAAAAAAATACAAAACTTATTACAGAGACACAGCACAGATATTGATAAAAAATGATAAAAATATCCGAGTCTTCTTAACCATCAAAAAATATTCAATATTTCCTCATATATTTACATTCCTTTTTTCAGCCTACCAATATTCACCCCTCGGTAAGGGTTGTTTATCAAACCACAAAAAGTGACAACCCGGACATTTGTTTTCCTTCGTCCCACCACAAGGCACAGCACGTCTGATCTAGATAACACTAGAAAAATTATACATCGTTATAATAACGACTACCAAACACTGTAAAAGGTCATAGGTTATCGTCGTCTCTTCTACTGGTATAAAATAGCCAAACAGCAAGGCGATACCGAAGCACGCGAACTGCAGAGAAGATAAGAAGAAAATGAAAGGACCGAAGGCGATAACAACAGGAATTATATGGACTGAGAGAGTACGGAATCTATAAAAAGCCTGAAAAAATTTGCTGAATTGCTGAAATACAATTGAAAATAGGAATGCGCATCCGAGTCAGTGGACAAAGAAGAACACAATAGGTATACCAAGATTGAAGATATTGTCTATTGAATTGCTATATACATACATATAAACACAATATATGTGAGTCAGAGTATTATCAGCCAGAGTATTATATGTATAAGGCAATGATATACGTAACGCATGGGCGGAATTTAATGAAAACTACGTGATAAGTTTCGTGATTCGAGTTCGAAAAGAAATCATAATGGAAAGTACGAAAAGCACTTAATGGTCTTCGTAGAGTGGAGTCACGTTTAGCATATGAATCGATGAACTGTTTTCATATGCTCGTAAAGAGGGAACAAATAGACGCGTGAGAATTTTTTATTAAGATTTGACAACGACGGCAAATATCTTATCTTAAATATATGTATCGCGTAGTAAGGAATATGTTATAGATATGTCAATTATGTGGGAATATATATGTGGCGTCAAGTATTTTATGCTTTGACGATACTCTAGTTAGGTTATGTTCCTGGAATATTTTCTCGTGCGACATTGTCCGTCGTACTGGTCGGTTGTTTTGCGAATCTGTCAAAATGTCCGTACTGTCATCAATAATATACTGGATCGTTGAATAATTGACGAGAGAGAAAGTGGCGCCTCTGGAATATGGGTAACGATCAACGTACTAGGTGTCGATATATTAAGTGTAGTTAAATATTTGCTGTGATAAAGTGTACATAGTTTTACGTTATAGTATATCAAGAGCAGAGTTACTTATGACGGAAAAACTGTAACTAATGAAATATAAATATTTGATACATTTTTCCGGAGAGCGGTAAATTTATTTTTTATTTTAATTGTTACGTGCCATGGATTTTTTTGTAATAATAAAAAATATATATCTATTCAGGAATTCACAAGTTTTATGATATTTATTCCCCATGGCGTTCAAGATACGGTTCTCTGATATAATAACATTTATCGCGCGAGACTTTTGTTATTTTCATATTTCGTTATCCCTTTACAGCCAGGAATCCAGCTTCGTTAACAGGCTGGAGTTAAATAAATTTGAGCTTTTTTTCGTGCCTTATTTTCGTCGCTGCCGAACTTACTAATTGTATGTATTATGCATGAGGGTGAAACGAATGAAATGAGGTATTGGCCAGGGGTGAAGAGACGAGTGGTTGAATTATGTTAAAAAGAAAGGTAAAAATTACAAGTATTATTTCGAACCAAGTCAGCCTTATGTTTTACCAGAAATGTCTGTTTTTGAATTTCGACAAAAAAAGAAAATGTATTTACCTTAACATAAGAATACTCCAGGACGAAGAAGAGATGATTTGAAGAACACGCAGCTGTAGTCGTTTAGGAGGTTATTCTTACTTTTCTTTTACCCCCTCCACCCCTTGGGACAGCCTATACTTTCCATATTGGGACAAGTGCTAGCTTTACGAAGCTTTTAACTATCGACTGGGGACCCCTTAACCCGAGAGTAGACGCGTGGGATGTCGAGACACTCCAACTCAATGGTTTTCAAATGGAGAACGAGCTCGTGCGGCCATTCTTGGGTTAAAATTGTTGAACAATCTGCCCGTTCGATTCGTCGAGCAGCGACCCTCCTCCTAGCGGCCAATACTTGAACTGTAAGCGATTTCACCTAAAGTTTCTTGGACATGTACCATTATTCTTGTTGAAGGATAAATCAAAGAAGTTTAACGGCTTTAAATATACCGGGGATATGACGTACTGAGTTATGTTTGGAATAAACAACAACTCCTGGCAGGTCAGGTTGTCTTTAAATAATTGATCTAGTGCATGTTTAATAAATGACAGTTCATACAACCCAGTAAAGTTGAGCTTCTCCCAAACGGGATTTCGGAATGAGTGTTCCTAACCTCTTTGGCATTACCCCATGGGAAAGGTAAATGGGATGAATATATAAGAAGCGATAAATAAATAATAATTACTGACGTTATACGTCTTTCTATAAAGTTAAATGATTTGTTGGAAAAAAATAGTTTTTAAACAGTGTATGCATATACCATATGTTCTCTCCCAAGTAGGAAACCTGAAGTTGCCGCGATCAAAAACAAATAATAATCCCAGCTACCGAACGAATTATCCTTCTGTAAGGTAAAAAGTTTTAACTCGTTTTCAATGGCTATCTTTCAATTCACGGGATCAACCGATCTTTTCTGTTCGACGTACTCTTACGCGTCATCCTCCACCGCATAAGAGCTGGCCAGGGTGTCCTTAGGAGACATCGACTCTGGTTATACTCGGCGCCCAGTTTATTCAATATTTTATTAATTATTTCTCGCGGTGCCATTTATTTGTGCGATAACGTTGAAAAGTGTCGTCACAATATACATATTTAAATATAATTTTTATGCTAAGAAGAAAATGTACTATTACCGAGTCTCTGCCCTCGTTATCCACAATGTGGAGAAATTACGAAGTATACACGGCAATAGAAAGCGGCTAGAAATAGTAGAGAAAAAGGAATAAAGGTGATACAAGTCGCTCCCAAGACGCAGTCTTGATTTATGAAGCTCTCAAACATAGCGAAAGACCGTCGACACTCGGCACCTCAATATTTTCTAATTCGCTGCTTTTTAGATGTGATTTATTGCAGCCAAGAGCCAGGTTTCGTGAAAAACTTTTCCCCGGCAACGCTGTAACTTGGCTGTTGCTTTTTAAGAGTATGCCACTTTGTAAGAGCATATGCCACTTTCGTCCCTAGTGAAATCAGCCTGGTGAGACAGTATCTTGATATATATATAATGAAAAACAGTATAGCTTCTGCAGATACAAGAAATAACCTAATTAACGAAAACTTCACGAATACTGTTATAAATCGAAAGGAGAATCCCCAGTGTTGGACGATCAAAGAGAATTTAGTCAGGAAACGAGAGTTTGAGAAGCCATTAAGAAATTCAAAAAACAACGCCCTGCGCATGCGCACCGTTTGAATTAAAAGTTTTTCCCTTTTAATTACACAACGCTGTAATAATGACTACAATTATTTTTAGGCTCCCTCCCGCATGAACTAAACTCGCGCAATTAAGCAGCTACAATGAAAGCAGAACCGGTGATGAGACGTGGACAAGAGAATGAAAGGAATAAGACAGCGTATGGTCGAGAGTGAGAGAGAGAGGGAGAATCGTTTTCTTTACCAGGAAAGTTACGCCATCTACCGTAAAAATTCCTGACTGTCATTAACTTACAGTATTGGCGATCTTTCATCCCCCTTGTGGCTTGACTTGTTAGTGGAACCCCCAAATAAACGTGTTATTGTCCTCACTGCTCGAGTTGTTTCTACGAAACAGCAGTCTTGTACCATAAGGACACATTAGTCGTACGTGAGTAAGCAATTCATGACATAAAGAGACAAAAGGTTGTAATAAGGCCGACCTTTTACAATCAATATAATTTATCGATCTCATTTAAACCCTCGTCTCTTGCTATTAACATTATCTGCATTCTACTCAGGATCACTAAAATTATCTGTCTTTTCGGTTATGTATGGATTCCAAATTGACATAAACGCGATGTTCGTAGACAGTACGTACGATCATTGAATAACAATGATTAATTGGCCAAATGAAAAGTTACATAATTCAACGTACCAATAACAGCAAAAGGATCAATAAGACCTGCAGAAAAATTCTGTGTGAGTATCCAAGATCCAATAGAAGTCAAGTGACGTAAAGAGGAAGTGAAAAAAAGGATATTCAAATTTCTCATCCGAAATATTCTACGTCTTCTATAAATAGTGCTGGCGAATTAAACGATGAATTATTGCATCAACGGTGCGAAAGCTTGATTAAACCTTCTATAATAATCTTATTAATTAAAGATTTTAACGAGTGCCGAGTTCTATAAGCTTCTGCATTCGCTTGCTAGTACACAGAAAATAGATTCTCGTTACCTACTGGAGTATTTCCAGAGATAATTCTAATCCCCGTTGTATTGTTCGTTTGATGCGTTTGCACTGACCCAATTTACACGGGAATTAGCTATTTTGTCCCACGACGTTGACACCTTACATTGTTAAATGCTTAACTGTCTTCTTGAGGAACTATATTGCGCTAAATTGGTATAAACTCACTGTATACTAACGCATCATATACTATGTTATATACTAAATAAATGCTAAAATAATACCCTCAAACAGTTCAATGGCGACCCTACTAATTCTTAACCATTTTTTTAAGGTTGTCAGCCAATTCAGAAAGCAATGTAATGTTACCATATATGTTGGAAGTTATCATGGAAGCAACTAGACAAATTCTTGAACAACGATCGTTTTTTGCTTGGTGAGTTTGACCCTGTTTGAGACACTTGTTTGCTACAACCCAGATGAAAACATATTATGCACAAATGGCTTCAAGATTAGAAGTTTCATCCACTAAAAACATACAATACGGGTTTTGCGACGTATGATAATCATATTTTTTGTTATGCTCCTGTTATGTCTCCTGTTTCTAAGTCACGACACATACCATCTGTCGATAACAAAGAAGTTCGTTACCGACTGTTGTAAAGTACGCCAAACTATATATCACCGACAGGTTTGTCGTTATTTTATCTCCAGTCAACAGTTGAACTACCGTTGGATGAACGATACCCAGTGAGAATAATATTTAAATTTATATATCACAAGTTTGCTAAAATATCTTTAGCATAATTAATCATACCCATATACGTATCTTATATATATATATCACAAAATCTTTTAACAACTTTTAATTGGCATGAGTTGCACTCGTAAATAGTGACAATGATATGAATTTTTGAGAAATTTATTTTTCCCTAATCAATATATTACAACGTAGAAACTATTGTGGACTTGAAAACTATTCGTAAGATGCATTCAGACTCTAAGATAAAAATTTAAATTTAACATAGACAACTCATAACAACAGGATGTAGAGATTGTAATGTTCATAAAACAATAGCAGGATGCAAGGTCGGTTAACCCATCGGTTTGATGACTCACTTCCTATAAGATACTGCAACAAATCTCAGCTTCATTCCATAATTAAAAATTATATTCCCATTAATCCCAAAGTAAAACGGACCGTCACCATATATGTATATATATGGTATACCACATATGATTAATACGAAATTAATAATTCTTTAGAATTTTCGATATTTTTAAGCGAGTAACATCCAAGCTCCACGGCAACTTTTAATTATTACTCCATTTAAAATATCTAACAAGACATTTATGCGTATCATTATTTTTCGTAAGAAAGTCTATTGTGGTGCGTTCGTTGTTATGGATACGTTATAACGTCAAACCCACATATTGTTGCTGGTATACTACACTATACTACAGTCCACTGAACACACCCTGTTTCAACTGTGTGACACGTGGACATGAATTCATACCCAGGTATAAATATATATATACATGTATATACACATAATCCACTGTATGGATATAGAATAATATACCCATCCATATCCAACAACCCTCAACCGTTGTCATTTGCTTTCCGGTCTTCTTGAGAAGCAATACCTTACCTTTTTACCGCGTAACTTCACTGAAAAAGAAACATAAAAACAAATAGTCAAATTTTTATCAACTTTTTTCTACGACCATATCCAAAGGACAGGGTAAGTATAATCGTTGTTTATGTGATTTTTTATTTCGTCCAGTACGTATCTAGTGACTTCAAGAATTAAAAAGAGAAAAGAAAAGTAGTGCATTGTTTTATATTGTAACAAAAGTAAAATTTACCGAAAGAAACGACGAATACGTAACTAAAGAGACGATATAATGAATCTCGTTATTAGACACGGAGTAATTTGATTTCTTGCGAGTTTAAGAATGGATCGTAATACTTTTTTATATTATTACGTAATGTAAATACCATTTAGCACCGATTCATTCGTCGCTGTATATACAATATCCTTTGTATTTTCTATGCTGCAACCACCGGGCTCTTCGATTAATCTATTTTGTTATTGTACTTTCTATTTTTTTTGGTTTGCATGACTTATTCCACTCGATTGACGTACTATACGAGGTTGGTACTAGATTATAGTAAAATTTACTATTTGTTTATACAAATTATCCATAGTCACACTAAAAAAAGTTGCATGAACACTTTGATAGAAATATTTTTTATGCAATCTGATTTATCTTTCTTTTCCTGTCCTTTCGTACACATATGCTTGATCTTCCTCACCTATGTGCATATTAAATTTCATAAATCACGATATCGTGCGTGATTATTGCGACGTGTTCGTAATGCATGGAAAGGCAAACTGTTAGTCGAGTTCGATGTGCATATATATAAGCCACATGTGATTATTGTCAGAAACGTCTACACGTCAGCCTGTCACACATGAACGTCGATACCATATACGAAAAAATCAGTGCTGAACAAAAAAAATGACTAGATAGAAATTACGTTGCGAGATGGTTAAGTAAGTTCGTGAATAATTAAAAATATAATCGTCAAATATCAAAGTCGATTAGATCGCTTGCCGTTGCTTGATTGAAGGTCTATTATATATTAAAGATTATTATCTAGGTCACAATAAGGGTTATTCGAATTACATAGTACAATTTAAATGAAGTTTTGAATCTAATAACGTCGACTGTAGTTAATTTCCTAAGTGAGGGTGTGTCTGCCGGCAGTGGGAACGTAAGTACGCACATGCAAACTGTCATCGGAGACAAATATTACATAATAGATAATGGGTCATGCGTGACACCATTCTTTACACTGTATCCATGTAGGAGACAGAAAGGAACTCTGTTTACGAATCTCTGAGATAAATATTTAGGGAACTATTTTCTAATCTTAATCAGCTCCGGAGCAAATTATTTTCGCGCTTTCGTCTACTAATTTTGGTACTACGTAGTATTGTTGTGGATAAAAAATATATTATAATGGTAAAAAATGTATATAAAAAAATATTTTTTAAGAAGGGTAGTTTTCAGGACTTTTTGTCTTGAGTATTGGCAGTTTTGAGGACACTTGGTGTTTGTCAGGACGGGCCTGATAGGATTTAGATACGTAAGGTATAAAGTGGCCATAAAGTGGCACTCACACCGAATTTTCCGAAAAAATTTTCATGCTACACACTCGCAGTTGTGATGGGCTAAGAAATGATTTCGTTAAGTTAGGTTAGGTTAGAATTTTAATACGACATGTCTCAAGGTTTAGTCTTTTTTTTTTTAAACGCATGGGCTCGCCATGGTGAGTGGCATGCGTCCTCATAACTACCCTTTGACAAGTTTATATATATAATATTGGTATAAATATTAATATATATCGTTCTACTTAGGTTAAAATCGATGAACTAATGAATTCCAAAGACCTTTGCATCACTGACTTACATATCTATTATTCACTGACCGTGCAAAGTAAAGCCAATGACAGAGGTACTTTTTTTTCGTTGTAAACCTTGAAAATTGTTTTCCATTGGAAAGTTTAATTGTTAACGAGGAAAACTTACTGTGCGAATATTTCGATTTCTATTATTACAGACGAATTTGTATGTATAGTACATATATGTATTTGGTAAGAATGGACGTCGGTATAGACTTTTCATGAAAACCTTTTCGCTTTCCGGTTCGTACTCGCGACATCGCGGTGCTTACAATAGGACACGTTCAAAGGATTTCCATAACAGGCAATTCATAGGGTTTGATTAGGGGGGTGGTTCATTAATGCACGTGTCACGATTACAGGGTTCGACGAACCCAGCGTTCTTACAGTGGCAGACGCAGAACGTCTTCAGAGACATTTTTGAAAAATAGATAACACTGTATCGATTTCGAGAATTAATAGAGCCATGAGCGAAAACGAAAACTGCGGTAGTTTGTTGCGCCATAAGGGATGCTCGAGTTGCGTGACCAAACACTGGCGCGGTAATTATTTATTTATATATGCCACGAGAGCGACAAAGTTGGTGGGTGTAAAGAGAATTTAAAAAAAGCGTTAAATTTTTAAAAAAATTTAATAATTAAAAAACTATCCTCCAACACGTTTTTTAGGAATACAAGGCAATTCGCGTTAACGATAATCTCTCGTGTCTTGTGACCTTTTTGTAGGTATGTTTATTATACTTAAGAAAGTCACGAAGTATTAATTAAATTTCAAAATTTAATTACGTCAATCCACCTGTTGGATTCACGTAACTTGAATTCAACTTCGCTTTAGGATATTTTCCTGAACCACGTAATCTTCGGTTTACGATTTACGAAAATACAGCACGAGGATTTTTGCAATTTTCAATTAAGACCATCCTGATATAATTTACAAATATTTCATTGAAAATTATTCCGCCCGACGGCCCCCAGGACTCTACGCCTCTGTCATTGAGGATGGGGTGGTTTCTGCGCGAGGTCGAACACGTGGGGTTATAGCTTGTGCTATGCTATGCTATTGGCCAGTAGTAACCACCCGATTACAGTCAAACGACCGTCTTCTAAACCGTACCTTTGTATTCAGCTCGATCCAGCCTGACAGACATAATAAAACGTCACGATGTTCAATTCGAGGGTCAAACGAAAGATAACGTCCTGGCGTAAGTTTTCAAATTTTTAAAAGTTTGTAATCTGTGTGACAAGTTCCGTTCTTTAGAATCACGTAGAAGAGTATGAATATTTAAAAAAAAGTTTTACCCTATCATTGAGAGATATCAGGATGGACTTAATCGAAAGTCCTATTCAAAAATGATATTCATATTCTTATATACATATGAATATAGTTTTCATATTGATCGTTGAGTGAAAAAAAATATTTAAAATTATTCCCAAGACAATACCAGATTGAGAACTGTTTTTTTTTCTGCAATTGACCAATATTCTTGTGAAAGCGTACTTTCTACCTCGTTCCGTTTAATTACTCCGATATCTTACCAGAATTCATTAATAAAGAATTCCATAAAATATCCATCCCATACCTAACACCAAGCTGTACAGTCACTCTGATATAAAACTTTTCAAACATTTTATTTCAAATATCCCTCCGGAAAAATATAGATAATTAACCGTATCGGATTCATGCACGTATTAAATATCTATGCTCGTACGCACCTGCACATGCCAATATCTTACCACATTCTACAAAACCGTTACAAAACGGATCGTATATGATTTTGCCCTACTGAAGGAAAAGTTTAATTATTCGCTATGTGCGTAGTAAAAAAGTGAATTTTTAGTGGGCATCCGTAGAAGAAATAGTGCAGTAAGAACTTATAGCGTGAAGTGCAGATGGCGCTGATAGCATGCTCCTACATTTTCACACGTGTTCACTAAGCCATGGCTGGATTTGTACGTACAGAGCGAATAGTTACTCATCCAAATTTCAAATTGTCCAGTTACACAGTTAAGGCATTCTCATACCTTGTGCAATGAGCGCAAAGCGAGATCGTCAAATTAAATTCGTTTCTTTCCTTATACGATCCTGACGCCCTGAATGACCTCCCTCTCCTACTTTTACCTGACTCATACGAGTATCACGTGAGCATAAATGACGTCTTTTCAAGGAATGTTTAACAGACCGCAGAGTGCGGCTACGAGGCAGGAGGCTGAGATGATGAACAAGGCCCAACGGGCTATACACGCAACCACGGATCCTATCGAGAAGTTACGTTTGCTCTGTCTGGCTAGAGGTGCCAATGGCATCCTCGGTCTTGGCAGGTAAGTTGCATTTGTTATATCCACTGGTAATGTCACGTTTCATTAATTTTTAACGCAATAGAGTCAGTTGAGCGAATGTGTTACTCGCAAGTGAAATCAGTGAGTAACGCTTAAGCGGGCAAGTGAAATCATATTCCTATTGCAGTATAATGATAAGAGCAGGATACAATGACACATGTGTAAAACGTGTGTGTATATACTATACAATATATCATATGATGATAACTATGAAGAGAAACGATGTGGGCGTAATGATAAGTTACCCTTATCGTCTCTTATGGTTGACATTGATGTAGCGGTATAAGTTTGATGAATATAAATGTGCGGGTAGAAGTGATATAATTATATGAATTGTGTAATTATTAAAATAATGAAAAAGATGGTTTGGCCAAGAATATATTTTACTTGAAAGTAACACTGAGAATTGCTACGATTATTTCTTAAAGTTTCAAGATGACGTTGCGACTCTCTATATTTGGCGTTACTGGTGATGAAAGTTTCTTGTTTTTTTTTTCTCAATCTGGATGAATCAGCCGTGGTTCTTGTCGCGTTGCGAATTCTGCATTATCCTTGTAGAGTATACATACTGTGCCAAGGATTTACGGTTTCGGATACCTTGTCTGGTTAGATGCGATTACAGAAGGATTTTTTTTTTTATTACAGACATGATTGGAATTGTAATTTTTTAAATGTGTTTTAGAGCTTTTCGTCGTATGGATGATGATGGAAATAAACAATTGAATTTGGAGGAATTTATTAAGGGAGTGCACGACACTGGTTTGACGATTCCGGATAATGAGATTGAAGAAATTTTTAAGAAACTTGATGCAGATGGTAGTGGAGGTATCAACGTTAACGAGTTCATTGTTGCTGTCAGGGTAAAGTCATGTGACAAATATAATATTACAATTTAAAATTGACAGAATTTTATCTGTAGACGAGGTAGCCTGATTAATTTTTTCGTGTATTTATTTTTTGCAGCCACCAATGCCAGAAAGTCGCAAAAAGGTAGTGGAGCATGCTTTTAAAAAATTGGATAAAACTGGAGATGGTGAAATCACTATTGACGACTTACGTGGTGTTTACAATGTCAAGTGTCATCCACGTTATATAAGCGGTGAAGAAAGCGAAGAAAGCATTTTGAATAAGTTCCTTGGAAATTTTGAGCAGGATTCTACTAAGGACGGAATTGTGAGTAACAATGAAAATTATTATAATAATTTAATTATAATAATTTTGTATGATATTTATAACTTAAGAAAATGTAAATTCACATAATAAAATATGCATTCGATATCTATAGGTAACGTTAGAAGAATTTCTAAACTACTACAGCGCTATCAGTGCGAGCATTGATCACGATGCTTATTTCGATCTGATGATGCGCAACGCTTATAAATTGTGAAATTTTAAAAGACAATCGCAACGCTACTGGAAACAGAGAAGACGTTTGTATTCGTAAATTCGTGTCAGACGGATATACGAATATATTGTATTTATATACTAGAAGTATTTACTGATATTAGATGGGAGAAAATTATGATGCATTCCCGTAAGTGCCTTAGTCTGTAGATAATTTTAATTTAATGAAAAATTATCACACGGTATATAGTACCGAAATATTTTTTAACGAATGCTCGTGCATACGGAGCGATAACATAGTATTATACAGGCTTTCATTATGTGTGGTAATAGTAGCAATTAATTAGCTTTTAATTAACAAAGTTGGTTGTAGGGTCCAATGAAGCAATGTCAAACCGTGCAACTGACACGCGAATAGCATTTTGTCTGTAGTGATTAAAGGACAATTGATTTGTAATAAATCTAATAAAAATAATAATTGTTGAAAAAGCTTTTTCAATAATTTTATTTTGATTGGCAAATACCCGACGACTTATTTATATTTTAAAACGAACGTAGCATAATCTATAGATTGTGTTAAATTATTTTTTATCAACTTGATGACAGAGGTCATTTTTAGGAACATCGACTGATTTAACCTTCGATTTCAATTAATTATATTTATTATATATAATGCAATGACAATTAAGGATCCCAACGTTGCGGATGAACGAGCGACGATTTCGTACGGATTTGTCACTTTAGAAATCGACTGCTTTGTTGCTGCCATAATATTTTTAATGAAATACATCTTACGCAATGTACCAGCAACAAAATTAACAGATTTTCCGAACTACGCGTTCTACGTAACAGCAATTGTTTACTCAAGTATCACATTTTAAATGGCTATTACTTATTAAGAGATTCAATTTCTAGAATGCTGCGACACATCTATCACTAAGTTCGAATGACAATTATAATTAGCGATAACTTTTTAAAAGCGAATAACCTCGGTTATGAACGATTGGAAATCGAAATGTAGAATGGAATTCAAAAACGGTAAAAGTGAAAACAGAACGGTCATGTTTGCTTTGTAAAATTTGCTTCCTACTTGAGAAATACTGCAATAAGGCAATATCTAAATTTGTTATTTTTCTGCAATATCGTTTTGATAAGAAAATATTTCTTGCATTTCAACCTATTTTTTTCGTTTCTAATCAACGTATGATTCCGGAATCAGGATAATTTTTAAATCACATGGGACAAAGTGCACTGGTATGCTTCTATTCGATTGAGACCTTTTTATCTTTATCAAGCACATCCGTAGTGCAAGGTCCAAGATAAAACGGTCATTTGCATTATCTAATCCGTTTTCCAAGTTACCAATCTACAATTATCTGTTATCTGTATCCTTAAAAGTAGTCATATGTATAAATACATTGAGACCCGTTCGTTCTCATCTTAAATATTATTATAAATATAGAATTTTTACCCTGTTCCGAACACAAAATCGTCACCGGTCAGATATTGTGAAAATAAAATTAAAGCTACATTCAAGCATCCATAAATGTGACGCACATTTATGCAATATGCATAAGAAAGAAATGGCGACTGTTAATAATCCCCCTTGTTATTTACAGTTATATTTTCCAGAGTAAACCTGACAGTGACATTGCTGTCCAACTTCAATCGTTATTCGTAACAACATGAATATTTTCACAAGGGAATATACCATACATAGACTAATAATCATAACCAGTGCATATTTACTTATACGTGACAGATTACGGATGTCATCTAATATTTCATTTGACGCAGAAGAAAAATATTATCAATATTTCACAACAAGATATTGAAGAAAGCTTAGGCAGTGATATAAGTTTTCCGTCAAATGTAGGCAGACTATTATATTCTTGATACTCTGTTGATTTATATCTACGATTATCCGGTATTCAATTTGAGAACAGCTTGTTGCATGCAAAAGCATTGTACTGTAAAAATATCCGAGGTAACAAGATAAATTAAACAAAAGACAGTGTAGTAAGAGATCATGAAGTAACTGGTATGATCTTGAAAAAAGAAGTTGGCGATTTCTTTAATTCTGGCGAGAAAAGAGAATTGCATCGGCCGGGAATCGAACCCGGGCCGCCCGCGTGGCAGGCGAGCATTCTACCACTGAACCACCGATGCTTGTATTAAGTGTTTTTGTTATATTCCACAATCCGGGAATGTTACTAATTTTAATACAATTCAAAGAAACAGAAATTAATATATATAATGTATCAATGATTCTTACGAAATAATAAAACAGACTCTTACTTGAATAAGATGTTTCTTCGTTTCAATTCAGCACTATATGACGAATAAAATTCTCTATAATAATCATCACTGAATTTTATTCTATTCGACGACACTTCAAACTTTCTTGATTCGCATGCTCGCTCGCACTCTGCAGTTTCTCTGGTTCTGCTATCTCTCTCACTAATCTTTCTACGTCGCCGTCATTTATCAGAAATTCAATGTCAAGAATCATCGTCTACCATTGTTTGTCATAAATGGCAGTTGCTGAACGTAATTTGTGTTCCTGTTTCTTGCGACAGGTGTCGATATAGTAGAAATCTATGTGGCTCTGCGAATGTAATTACTGGCCTGTTATGTTGTCGCTAGCAACAGGAACACAAGTGTCTATTTAATGTCTATAGCAGAACCAACTTCAAATTGTGCCATTAGATTGAATACCCCTTATGTATAGTTGCGTACGTATACTTACCTTTCATCTAGCTTAACAAGCATCTGAATTTTGAGTGTCTACTTTAAACCTCGACAGACTTCGGATTTCGACGATTTACCCATAGTCAGTACACAGTGGTTTGCAAACTTATTCAAAACGTGATTTAAAGGCTAGCTGTATACTGTTAAACGTACTTGGCTGAAAACTCTACCGAGTCTCTTGATTGTTAATCCAAGAGGGAATAAAAGTATTGTGTGCACTCCAAGCGCATGCAAATGCTCATGAAAACAGCCATGTGTTCTTTTCTCGCAAATCAGAAACAGTGAAATATAGCCACATGTGGCTGTGCGTATAATTTGCGTTACAAAGCACGAGTATAGTTTTCAATTAAATCATATGTTAAAAACTTAAAATATAGTAGAATATAATTTATGTGGGCCAATTAGTTATAAAATATTTGTCAATCAACAATTATACTGGAACCACGCGGTTAAGTGCGTAACTATAAAGCCCTTGGATTTCAAAAATGAACTTTGCATTATGTAATGCGTATTAAAGATAATGTTACATCCGCGTGAGAAACCAGGTGCCACATATGCGGTCGATAACTAAATATCAAAAGGCCAATCAGTAGGGTCTGGTTTCTATCACATAGCGACCCTTGAAAGCGGCTATCTCTCATATGGGTCCCAAGTTTAGGGAAAGTGAGATGAACCTTTCAAGAGGATACATGTATAAACAATTATACCTAGGCAATAGCCTTAACCCTCAGCAAGTTTACTCAAGTGACACATGAGCACCGGAAACGAACATTCTTGATTTTACGATGTTTCCTCGAAAATTCCACTAGACTCCTTACTCATTTCCAAAGAAATCATCCTTGTCCAACCCTGACCCAGTAAATCCTTCACCCCCATGCAAAGTTCCCCGTCGAAATTTCCAGCACCAATGAGCTAATTTCCTTAACCACATACTCTTTTTCCTAAAAATTTCTCTAGCTGAACCAATAGTAACAATCCTCAGTCTTACCCCAAAAATCCACCCCCGTTAATTAACATCCACTAAATTCTCCAAGACTCTCTCTCTCATTCTCCACCGACCGGCCAACCAACCACTATTCGTTTTATTTTTCCGCTTGTTAATCAACTAGAGTAATTGTTCAGTTCTTTGTTCGCTTGCTCGCTTCATCTATAATAAATTGTTTTCATTTTATTAATTCACTTCGGCTATACATTTTTCCTATTTTACATATTCTTTCATCATCATCGGCATCGAGGTAAGCAATTATTATCATTATACTTGGTGAAAGAACTCTTAAATTTGTTAAATCATAGTAGATGTTAGAATTTCCTAGATTTTCAATTATTTAGTTGATGAACGTTTTCATTTGCTTTAAATATATGTATAATCAATTTATACCATATCCAATCCTATTCATTCTTCCCACGGTAATGAGAGGCATAGCCCAATCCGGAGTAAAGTTTGCAACTATTGACTCAAAACAGGGCAAAGCAATAGTATATTACGGTTCGGTAAAGGCACCAGACTAGGTGAATTGGCCTTCATTCTAGTTCGGACGTAACAATAACTAAAAAAAAAATTCAAAAATTTTCCCTCCCCGGCGGGGAATCGAACCCCGGTCTCCCGCGTGACAGGCGGGGATACTTACCACTATACTACCGAGGAATTGGTTATAAACGTTTTTTTTATTTCCCGTTTTAAATATGTTCCTTAACATTCTGATAATACTTGTAAATTAAATTAACAAATGAAACCCTTTAAAAAGTTAAGGTAACTGCGATGAATATATGAACAGAAATAAAAGTTCAGATATCATAATAATATCGACTATTATCATAAAAGTCACAAAGTCCACGTTGATCACGTCACTATCGAAAGAGGCCTTTGTTCGTCTCCTTATTTTATAATTTTAAAATAAACTTTATACTATAATATTATTATTATTTAATACTATTAATAACTGCTTCCTAATAAATTTAAAGACAAAAATCTTTTCCAAACGATCAAGAATAATCATTTTTGTTTCAAAGTCAATAGAATAATAATTAGTAGTTTTGTCCTCCGAATAGCTGGTACATACATATACTCGGACACTTGCGGCGAGGTTATATAAGTGAACGCAGGCGCCGAGCAATCAGTCTGTGGCAGTCTGTGGGTAACAGTCGTCGGGGAAAGTTCGTCCATTTTTATATTTACCATATTTGTAACGCATTCGAGGAGTTTCCAATAATAGTTATGGTAACGATAACTACCTGTTAAAAGAACAATTGCCCCACGTTCACGGATAACGAAAGGTGATTCACCGTCGTGAGGCGTGTATGATTGATATTCGTCAGGCAGAAAACTGCTGACTCGCCGGAAAGTGGAGGTTAAGTCAGCATTTGAAACAAGATTTTTGTTGTGCTGTGGAAAAACAAAATAGAAACATGAAGTGTGGCGACACTATTATCATCGTCTTCTTCGCTGGTAAGTTTACAATTATTAAAGATAAATGGCATCCAAATTGTGTATATATTACATTGATAAAAGTTACCAAGACCTTTGTACTATTTTGCCAGTTAATGCTAAACACGTTAATTGAATTTGCCTGTTTATAATAATGTTATGTAGATTATATACCATTGACTGATAAAAAAACAATGATGACATGACGACACAAAATATCGATAGTCGCAGACTGGAACAAAGAAAGTCGATTTTTCATCAGCATCCATACATTTTGCATTACATTTCGTTCTTTATGAAATCAACTTACATTAATCGCAGTTTCATATGCTGTTACAACTTTTATCATGTAGTGAGTAACATCTATATGGGAACATCGCTTATTAGTGGTATCTTGTCCAGTTGCTCTCAGATTAAAAAATGAGTTATAAACCACTATCAAAAATATACGTTACATGGAAATTTTTAATATAAACATACTCTGTGACTTTTGTTCTTTTATTGTGCACTGCTGCTGAATCCATTATTTCCTTTCGCAAAGACCACAACCCTTATGAGCCGGTTTCATTAAAATTGAAATGTGCCCGTTGGACGGTTAAATTTCAAATTCATCCTTCTTAACAAGTTTAGTAGTATACTTAATATACTATACACACACGCGCGATAAATATTGCAAAAATGGAGCGTTGAGAAAGATTATTACTTTTTTAATGCCTCCACTGAAAAATGTATGTTACTTTTCGTTACGTTGCGGGAATACTTTGTGTACTTATGAATAGAACTATTGTTATTATACGTACTATTGTATGTAAAAAATATTCTTCTACTTCGTGTCGTGAGTGGATTGCGTAAAGCAAAGCTGCTTTACTACTTTTCTTGTTTTAAGTTATAATCATCGTATTCAGTTATTCGGATTCTTAAGCTGTAAAGGGTTGACATATTTGTTGATAAGATCGTGTAGATATTAGGGCAGAAAGATGTATACATGTTTAATGTATATGTTACGCGAAAATATTGTGGAGATTTAGATATTATAATGTCATTAAGCTCTATAAAGGCTAATATGCACAAGGTTTCCATTATTTTTTAAACCAGTTTCTATAATGACAAACATATTTGTGTATCTCATATGAATTAAATAAAAAAAAATGTTGCCCAGCACTGACGTAAATCTTCTTCATAGAATTCCTTTTTTATGTAAAATCCTCAAGGTTTCCAGTATCTTTTTCATAACCATCATTACTAGAGTTGCTCCAAAAGTACATGTTAGTTCTAATCATCTTCTGATTCTCCGAGTGCAGTAGTATAGACGTCGTAATGATATGTGGCTGTCGACTTCTATTATTGTCATGATGGATATTTCGAACGGTGTACTTTGTAGTTTGAACCAGCGGTATCGCGAGCACAGATCAATTATATAACCTATGCAGATAAAGGATTTGTACAACTTAGATTTAAGGTAGTACTTTATCACGAATATAAAATCGAAAGGTTTCAATTTTTGATGTCGAAATTTATAATTATTCTATAGACAAAAAAGTTAATATATTAAGTTATATATTTATAGGAATAAGGAAAGTCATACCATAAACCGGTACAGCACTCTGCCGGAAAGTAACGACATATAGAGGCCCAGGATAGTTCAATAGTCAGAGCATTGACATGCTATTTTAAAAAGCCACTTTATATCGCCTGTAATATGTGGTCATTTTTTTGGCTATAAAATCTCATAACACGATTAACTGAATACATTGATGAAGCTAAAGACGTTGGTTACCTTAGAGCATGCTAAGGTTATTTCTATAAGGATATATACTTTTGATTGCCAATACCGTAGTTCAAGCTTGTCTACTTTTAGTACAAATAAAATCATAGTATTCGCCTAAAAAACTAGAGACCCAGCTTATACGCCCAAATGATACACCTCTGGTGATAGAGGACTGCCTTAATAATATGAGTGACCCCAAGCAATTTAATAAATTACGAAATTTATCTTTATACTAGTTGATATGTACTAAGTACACGAAATAATGTTCTTAATGTTTTCTTTTTTGTCTCTCAGGAATCTTTGGCTGTATCTTGGCTCAAGACAATCTACCAAGCAAAGATGAAGTGCTTAAAAAAATACCAGACCTTGCAAACGTCCCTGGTATAAATAACGTTAATACCTCGACAGTCGAGGACTTTAAGAGCGTTTTTAAACAAAAATGCGAAAAAAATGGTGGTCCAACGGCGTATCAAAATGCAGAACAGAAACAGAAGGAAGCAACAGAATGTTTGCAATCTCTAGTTAATATGACGGAACTTCAGATAGAAATGGATCAAGCTAAACCCAAAGGCGACTTGGATGTTGTCTTTAAAAAATATTGTCGGAAAAGTCCCACGTTAAAAAGTTGCCTGATGAACTTCACTGATGCCTTGGAGCCATGCCTGGAAGAGAAAGAACGTGAAAATAAGAAATTTGTTAAAAATATTACTGAATCTCTATTAAACTTTATTTGCCACAAGGAAGGCGATCGCATTGCGTGTAAGTAATTGTTTAAGTATATATTAATTGCATTAAATTACTTTTTGTTGAAAGAACACAACCTTTGTCATATTAATCTTTGTTTATAGTATTTATCGCAGCTGGTGGGCCAGAATGTTTTAGTAACAAATCGCAAGCTGTTAAAACTTGTGTCAACAACACATTTGGTAGTTACATTTCCGCAGTGATCAACGAAACTGGAGGCGTGCATGCGCTTCAGAATTTACCTTTACTGATTCTGGGCAAAAAGGAATGCAGGTGCGTGGATACTTGATTGATCGCCTAATTTTACTATACAATCTCTAATAATGTAGTTCTGTTTTCTTTTAATCTAATAGTGACATTGCCGAGATGCAGAAGTGCATTGTCAAAGAACTCGCAGATTGCGCGGATCCGACAACAGAAAATATCGTGGATTCCCTATTTAATTTTGTAAGACAGGTAACACCCTGCATGCAGTACGCAGAAAGTAATGCCGCAATCGGAAATAACACTGTACGAGGCTCGGCAAATATTGCCGTTCTCAGTTTCTTAATAAGTATTGTTGCGGGTCTAAATATACGATATGTCTAATAAGACAATGCATTGATGAAATACTACTAAAGAGACTCATTTTTAGCACAATTTTAGTGATCTGTTTTGGAGTTCATACTGAATTTGAAACGTTGCTAACATACTTACGTCAGTACATCCGCGAGATTACGTAGAATTGTATTAAATCATGTCTCTTTAGTAGCACACAATGCAGGCAATTCGACGTTTCACAATTGTTTATTCCCGTAAAGCCAATATTCTTTGCGATTGTGACAAAATTAATGTCAAATCCAAATATTGATTACAATAGACGTAAAACAGAAAAGTGCTGGATACCAAATACATAAAAAGAATGTTATTCAAATTATAGAATTTGGATATACATATTAACCAAAGGAGAGGTCACTATGCAAACAAAATCAATGTATTTGAATATTTCTACATTACCATATTTCTTTCTGCCGTAACAAATTTTATAAAATTAGGCTTCTAAAGTAAAATATCAAAATAACCAAATTACATTCCTGTCATTGATCATAGTAGAATAAATGTGAGTATAAGGGACAGTGATATAATAAATAAATGATAACTGTTCTCTTTCAAAGAAATGAGGAAAAGTGTAATATCACAATGTAGAATAAATTGAGTAAGTAGGAAACAATATTGTCTCTCTGCAAAAAAAAGATACAAATCATGTAGATAATACTAAAGGTGCTTGCTTGCTGGCTGGTACCATAACTTATTTTCTATCTTGTTACATACTGTTAAAGCTTTTTCTTTGCATATAACCATCTGCAATTTGATGTGATTGAAGTTTCAAACTTAACTCTTTTGAACTCTTATAGGATAGGAAAGTAATTTTTCTGATCCTTCAAAAATCAAATATAAAAAAAAATCGGCTTTTTTTAATGGATTCTTTGCATATGTAACACATGGCCTTCAAGACGGTTGTCTTTCAGCCCTGTGAAGATTAAGGAAAAATGTTTAATCACAGATCATGTAGAAAGATTTGCAACAACTATATCACTAAAGTTATCCATCACTTTTTCCGTTTATGCTTGAAAAACTTTTTGAATTTACTATGTTTAAAAAAACAACTGCAGAATCTTGTTCAAGTATCTTATCTATTCTTTGGTTGGCTTACTATTGTTGTCTTCACATGATATCAATAAACAATGTTAATTTCACATATGGCTACCAGAATGTTTAACATAGTATTTATTACAGTCAAACTAAGAAATCTAATAAGATACTGTACACATGTAAAACGTCATTGATAAATTCTGCCTAATTTACACAATATGCTAAGAGGATATTTTGTCACCTATACAATTTCAATGTAATGCCAAAAGAAAGTAAAATACAAGCGTTTTTATATATATCAGTTGAGGTGGATGATATAAGTAATCGACAAGAGATATAAGGATACACTAGTGATCATGTTCTAACACTCGTTAAATATTCATATTTATTACTTCATATTTGTTATTTATCCAAAGCCTATTAATAAATTTTGTAATCCATGTTGTAATATTCATTTGTGTTCTTTTTCATTAAAAATAGTGAACATAAGTCATTCATTAATATTATTGTTAATATATTGTATTTCGTTTCCAAGTAAAGCATTTAGCAGCACGATCTTGTCTATTTTCACTAGCTATATGTCCTAGACATTATACATTATAAAGGAATATATGTATATACTGAATTCTAGATCACATGCATGGGGACAAACGTTTCATATTTATAAAAAATTTTACCTCATAGTAAATATAATATTACAAAATATTTAACATATAAATCCATATCTTTAAAAGTAAGGTACTTAAAATTATTCAGAATTATTACATACAGGCCAAATATCAAATGCTGTTTTACATTTACAATATAAAATATATCAGAATAAAACGTGATATAAAATAGCCTTGACCATAGTACTTGCATCTTATTTATTATTACGATTGGTGTTCCATTAGCTAGACTTTACGTATTTATAGAATTCGTTAAATTAAAAATTTATAACTGAATCTGCAGAAAAAAAATGATATTACACCGTAACACGCAATTAAATACGCCGTTGAATGATTGCACATCATTATGCAACGTAATACACACATATATGTATACGCATTGAACTAGAATTAAATTTAGAATGCGCATGCGTTAAGTAGAAACTGGTAGAAACGCAACTACCGATTGGCAGCTTATCCAGATTCAAGAAATGTACCATGCGTGCGCATTGGTTATTCGGGAAACTTCGTGAGAGATCGTATAAATTCGCTAACTCGCAAAAGACAGTGCAGTTGAGAAAGCCCACAGCTGGCTGTCTCGACGTGTATGCTTTGAATATTTCGCACCATGTTAATGAGTTTTTATCAAATTTTAATTAAAAATACATGCAGTGCATTCAGTATACGAAAGAAAATTAATAGTAAAAGACATTTACCCTCTTGATCGAGTATTTTCGTTAGTATCAATTGTGCAATAAGGAAGGCGAGGGAAGATGCCAGGCAAAGGAGGCAGAAGAGGAAAGTCCGGTAAGTTACACATTGTTTTTAAAGTTATTCTTAGAACTTACATTTTTTTGCCCAACGGAAAATACTAAAGGTAAGTATTACGTTTGAGGCATACAGTGCTGTACTATAGTACATTGGAATTGCCAATTACTATCTCTTATGGTGAATCATCCGCAACATTTACCATGTTAATTCCTTCTTACGTCATGGATTTGCACTATATTTAAATTTCTACCATGGTCGCTTGTTTCTCGTGTTTTTGTATTTGCGTAAAAATATTAAAAAATTACCAAAAATGTATGCTACCGACACAGTAACCTTGGATATTCACTGGTTCTTTCGTTTCAATTTCCATGTGGCTTCCACGCTATCGCATGGAAAAATGGTATGGAATCGTGCAAGTGGATTGTTCTTACTTTAAATAATACATCTTTCCTTTTTGCAATACTAATTGTCAGTTTGCACAATTGTATGCAAAACGTTTTCTTCTTGACTCCAATTATCTTTTTAGATAGAAAGTATTAATACATTCTGATAAAATATAAGGAGGTTATCCTATGCGCATTGAAGTTTTTTTAGTAAAAATTATACAATAATATGGAAATTAAATTTTTCCATTTGCAAATTTTTGTTATAAAAAATGTAAAAAATATTGCTGTCTACGACTCATTTCATAGTTTGACCAATGAATCTTACATAGATGTAAAAATAAAGATTGAAGTGATTCTAAAAATAAAGTTTTCTCACATCATCTGCATTAAAAATTTGTTCTAATCTTTTTATTTTTGTGATTATTAATTCAGGTTTTCAAATTGTTAAAAGACTTTATGCAATGAGATAAATAGAACGCTTTACTTCAAGATAAATGGTATACCCAATTTAGCAGATAATATTGATATTTCATTCTAACCATTCTTAAGTTCCTTTTGATATCAGTTGAACATATGGTACCACAATGAATGTCTACTATCACTACGCTTGTTTTAGTTTGATATTATGTAATATAACATTCATTTTCCTCAGCTGTTTTTATTCAATTATAGTACCTAAATAAATAAGTTAACAATTGTAATTAAAGTCTCAATAATAAATATTATTTATCTGTTGACAGACAATAACAGATAATTACAATTATCAAGAAATCTCATAAATTATATTTAAGATATTCCAGCATTAAGTAATAACAATTTGTAGGTCACGGTGGAAAAAGGGCTGAATTAACATCTGATGAGGATTCTATTAACAATGATGCATGCAGCATCACCAGTGGTCAATCTGACAATCGCAGTGTGCTCGATGATGTTAATGACAACGAGATTGACGAGATCGCGCAACAAGAGGCATTTGAGGAAAAGCTGAAGGAAGCGATAGATGGATTGACGCAGAAAAGTGCAAAGGGTAGAACCTTATGCTTCAATGGGATCGAAAAAATATTTGCCATAAAGTATATTCCTGACTTTGTGGAGGATAGAAAAATGACTATCACAGATTCTATAGAACGGGGTTTGAAAAAGGGTCGTGGTGATGAACAGTCTACAGCTGCTCGATTAAGTACACTGCTCTGTGTCCAACTTGGAGCATTCGAGAGTGCAGAAGTCGTTTGCAGGGATCTTAAATCTACATTGACTTTCATAGCCAATGATAAAACAGCACAACCCAATGCACGATCTGAGGTAAAAATAGTTTGTATTGGATTTACTAAAACGTATAAGAAGATTATTCTTTGTATAATCCTATGAAAAGGTTTCATACAACTTCAACGCATGAAACGTTATTAAATGATTCAATTACAAATTAACTTTTGCATAAACATATATTTTTGTACTGCCGCATCGCTAATTCTTTATGTATAAAATCGAGTAATCTATTATATTTTATAAGATTGTACAACGGAGTAAGATAATTCAATTTCCTTACAGTGCTGCTGGGCTTTAAGTATGAATCAGTTTTTGTCCGGGAACGATGCTGGGGATACCATTGAAATTGCACAGTTACTCTCAAATATTTTTGCTGGCTCTTATCTAAAAGGAAATGGTGCAGTACCAATAGTTGCTGCTGACATGGCCGCATTACATGCAGCTGCACTATCCTCGTGGACTTTGCTTTTAACCGTCATGTCACCTGCAGACATCTATAATTTACTCGGCAGTGATCGAATTAATAATTACATGCCGTAAGTATATAAAATTCAATACAGGATATTTCTTCCTAAGTTCATACTTGTACCACTGACGTTTTTTTTATTTTTCAGTTCTCTTAATCGTCTGCGTGAATTGTTAGAATCTCCGCATCTTGAAATACGCATTTCAGCTGGTGAAGCATTAGCTGTAATATTTGAACTTGGTCGTGAGTACGCCGAAGATTATGAACAGGATTGGGCACTCGATCTCGTTAACGTACTCAAAGATTTGGCTACAGACTCGAATAAGTACAGAGCTAAGAAGGATCGTAAACAACAGCGTGCGAGTTTTAGGGACATATTGCGATACATTGAGGTTTGTAGTCTCATCAAATTTTTTGAAAAATCAGCAGCTGCTTGAGATTCAAAAGAATTATTTATTTAATCGAAAAAAAATGTATTGCAGGAGGACATCGTACCGGAAATGCATATCAGATTTGGAAGGGAAACTTTATTCTTGGAAGGATGGTGTGCTCGAGCTCAATACAATACATGTTGTCGATTTCTTGGGCCTGGTATCAATATTCATCTTGCTGAAAATTTATTGCTGCGTGAAATATTCCATCTTGGTAATAAAGTGTTGCCTCTGCAAGCAACTCAGCAGAAGACAAGCAAGCTCGAAAGGGTGAGTGTTATTATATGAATTGTTGACGGAAATAAGTAAAATAATAATACATGAACAGAGCTCCCTGAAGAGCAATGACCATACAAGCAGTTTTGAATAATAGAATCATGTTCATTTGTGTTGCAGACACTCATGAATGCAGCAGCTTTTAAGGCACGTACTATTCTACGCAGTAAGAATCGTGACAAGCGTTCGGCGACTTTGACGACATAAATTTTCTTTTCCTAATCCTTTTCGATTTTTAGCGTTAGATTATTTCTTCTAGATTTTTTGTGGCGTAATCGAATTTTTATTTATTTTACCTATTGTTGATTAGATTAAAAAAAAGTCGTGTGCTATTGCTTATCTCGAGTCTATGAAATTTCAATTGTATATAGCGATACGAATTAGAAAAATTAACATTAGAATTAGTGATATGTAGCTTGGCTATTACTTGTGTGGCCAAATAAACTTGATACTATACGGTTGTTTAATACTTTTGTAATATTCAAGCATTGTATGTACATATTAATTGTATATACAAACACGTTTGGATCCGTTATTCCTATTATGTTTTATGACGTTAGTAGGCCTCATTTATTTGGTAATCATTATCTATGTATATGTAATCCTGCGGCAATCTTTATTAACATCTTATAATCTATTTTAGAGATTATTATAATAGTTAACATTGCCGCATTTGTTTCGAGTAAAAAAATTATTATATTATCGTACATATGAAACAATAAATTTATAATGGATACTTATATTTCTTTAATTTGCCACAACCCCTACAATATTCCAGCAATATTAATTTCAATTTATTTTTTTCTATAATGTTTTGAACAAGACAAACAAATAATATTCAGGCAAAAGGAATAGTAGGAACTATTTAAAGTTTGGACCTCTTTGTGTTTATTATCTTTATTTTTATACAAACATTCAATTATTTTCCAACAATCCGTTATAATTTAAGAAATACTTTTCTTATTTATATGGGGCTTTTGGTAAAATCACAGACGCTTCGCAATACGTGCATTTATAAATCCATTAAACAATGTACGTTTTAAGTCAAGCATGTGAAACAGACGCAATTCAAATAATAGACGTTGTCTAGTAACTAATAAAAATTCGAGAGCAAATGGAATTATTTTCATTATACTGACTTTACTTTTTGTTCACACAAAGCTAACAATGTAGCTATATATCCTTAGTGCGTAGTGTTTCATGTATATAATAGTGGTATGATTGAACTACCTCTATATTACTTTTTCCTCGTAACTTTTTGTAGAGAAACAAAGACATTATTAAATGCTATAACGTTCTCGTAAATACAGACTTTCATAATCGGTCAATAAAGAACAAATTGCAACGTGTAACATATTGAACTCTGATTCCCTGAGAATAGTATACAATATATACTATAATAAATCATACACGTCTCCAGACCATTTACGTATCGTAAAAACAAATCTTGACCGATGGAAACATTTTGTACAATAAAAATTGTGGTGTTACATGAACAACGATGGTTTTCAGTAGGAATCTGAGAAAAGTCATTATTTTGATAAAAGTTTTACCCATCATGCTTTAATTTTGTGCTGTAAATATTATAACAGATTTATATGTGCAAATTGACTCGTTGCTGTTTGAATTCCTTCTCGGAAAGCATTTGCCATCGATAGCCCAAAATTTTGGAAACTTCTCTCTCTGTGGCCTCGTAACTACGACTATTCACTTTTATCCACTGATAGTGTTCCGGCAACCAATCAGCGATCTTTGACCAGTCTCTATCACATCTTTTTAGAATGACATTGCGCCGCACGTACAAACATCGTAAAGATTTTGCTGTGGAAACTATTTCTAGAATAGTAGCTGTCGATATTTTGTCACGGATCATCTGCAGGAATGATAAAAAAAACTTTAACTATGCACTGATTATAGATCAGGCAATAATCATTGAAAGGAGAAAATTCAGACATAAAGAATATTTGCACGACCATGCCCAATAAGTTTCTTATATGTAAATACTTGAAAATGATTTTCACAATAAAACAACGAACACTAAAGCTGAGAAGAAGAAATCTTAATGAGGTTGCACAGTCAATTTACTGTCAATGATCAGGGATGATAAAAATCAAACAAATCATTGCATTACAAGAATCACAGAGTGAGACCGTAACGGCATATACCTATAGCTTGGCAAGCAGATTTAATGCATACAACGATCGAGGACATTTCAATTAATAAAATGTTATCTTGATGTCAATAGAACATATTAAAATTTGATAATCTGAGTGATTTAGTAATATTTGTGTAGTAAAATATCGTTTTGAAACGTAAATGATTAAAAATACTAATAACTAACCCTGGTACAATACCGGCTCGACGAAGTATCCACTAATAATATTCCAAAATCGAATTATTAATTACTTTTTAGATACATCATTTAGGATTACATGTGTTGCTAATTAATACTAGCAATCATAAATTACGTTATCCAGGAAATCTAAGAAATCCTCGGTCCCATATCATTGTATTTGCAAGTCTTAATCTGTTAAAAGAAGCATTCATTTTAATACAGCATTAAAGCCTTTCACCAAAGGTAACTTACAATTAGTATGTACATATCCACTACATCGCAAACACACTGTTAGCATTAGTAAAATTTGGCCGACACAAAGATAATAGGCAATAATATTAAAAGATCTGAGCCACAATATGCTACCAATGTGTGAAGATTTGGACAAGTCTTGCAGAGCCGCACTATCGCTTCGTCCAGTCTTTTCGCAAAATTCTTATGTAAATAGTACCGTGACAGTCCCTTAAAGGCATAGACCCTTAGAGTTCTATCGAAATATGATCCATGAGCTCCCAAAGTAAATGGTGATTGCTATAAAAATATAAAATTATCAATCCAACATTTATATTCTATTTTGTATTATGTATGATTATTTTAAAAACCTGTGTATTTGGATTATCCAGTACTACACTATGACATGGTATGTCACTATGCTCCAATAAGTCGATAGGCAAAATAATGTCAGTAGGCTTATGACTTTCTACTTCAAAATGTACTTTTAAAACAGGATTATGCTTTCGCATTTTTGCCCATGAATTACTTTTTGGCTGTAAAAAACATAAAATATAAGTGAAAATGAAATGAATTTGCTTATTTTCGTATGTTTTGAATATTTACCAAATGTACTGTACTGTCCTTTGGACTGTACCTATTTTGTATAATGTGTAGATGCTGTAATTTTGTATACCCAAGCAACTCTATTACATCCTCATCGAGATTTTGTGGGCTAATGACTAGAACCTAAACATACAGAAAGTTCTAGTAACTTTTTGAAAGTGTGTGAATAATTTCAATTTTGCATAGTAATAAAACTCATCCAGTTTTATCAGCATCACTTACTTTCAAATTAAGGAACACTCCCACATGCAAAAGAGGACAGTAATATCGTGTTGTGTTTATCAATACCAATGTCGTCAAAGTTTCAGTACACATTGTACAAACATCATCTAACAAATGTATTGCTTCAATGCTGTCCAACATCAAATCTATCAATTCTAAGCATCTTAAATTAATCAAATTACTCATGAGCCTTTTCAAAGCTTGCAATAACTTTCCTCCAGTGCCAAAAACTCGTATGCGATCTGCATCATCCCGGTTGGCCATATTACAAGGAAATGTAAACTTTAGTCTCCGAATATAAGTACCCACACCAGCAACAGATGTATTATCACAGCCTTGTCTTTCAGTATACCATGATACCATATTCATAAATTCATATAAATTATAGAAGTTCAGCATTGGTTCAAATATGATACATCTGAAAAATTTGCCAACTTTGTTCAAACATGCTGATGTTCTCATGTGATCCAAAACATATTGCCAGCCACTGTAGTAATTAAATTTTCCACGTGTGAGTGTTGTATCTTCCAATGTGAATGTGGACCAGACATTGTTTAATTTGAATGCACGATACCAAGAACGGCATACAAGGGCAGCATAATAACGATCACGGATTGATAGATACGAAAATATTTCCTCCAGTAAAATATCTGGCAATTGGTCCCAGGCACTATAAGTTTTTAATTTTCCATCTTCCTCCGTTTCTTCCTCGATGTCAATATACAGAGCTGTAGCAAGCAATTAAAACAGAAAATGATAGTAAAGACCACTCTGATGCATGTGATGTCGGTAAACATTGACATTTTTAGTTGTTTACAACAAGAGATGCTGGAGAAATAATAGAATTGACATATATAGATTCAGGTTTCATTTCTTAAAAATATTTACAATATATAAAAATATACGCAAAAGCACAAGGTCGTTAAAAGGCAAAATCCATACTACGAAATTCTATAGGATTATAGTATTTAAGTAAAATACGTCTAGAAATATTAGCAATAACAACTCGTAATTATGAATTAAAATATTCGATATATGTGACGAAAGTGTGTAAAACGTGACTCCGCAACAATGGGAATTGTAGTATGTGAAGAGAATTTCATAGTATAAAGCAAAGTAAAAAGGCAAAAAAACAATTTTCGATAATATGTATATTTTCCAATTTGACATTTGAGCATAACCTTAAAATACAATAACGTACCTTTGTCGTGATCGTCAAATTTCCAACAACCTTTACTCATTTTCAAGTCGAATTTTTCCGAAAGACAGCATTAAAGTAACGGTTTGGGTGAGTTACACTATTTATATATGATATTTCTAAAAATATACTAAAATGGGAAGTAGCCGAAACATCTGATATGATTCCGCCATCTTCACTTAGTTGCTGGAAGTACGTCATAACGATTTGAGGCGCCACTGCGGCCGGCAGTAATAGTAGGAGTTCAGCACAATATCATCTGGTATTACCAATCTTGTATGAGATGTTTCCATCAGAGAGCGACACAGTGTAACTTTTTGAAAATTTCCAACCGTAAGTGGAGTGTATTGTATAAAAGTTGCTGTTTTTGCATGTAATTTGGTATATTTATGTGAAACAATAATTGAATTTCATGGTAAATGGTTTTCTTAAATTCATAAAATATGAAAGTCATTAGAAAAACCTTTATGTAAACCAGCTATTGTTCACGGAGTAATTCAGGTATTAACTAGTTTATTTTTTGCAGGGCTACAGTGTTATTTACGAAACACTTTGAGGATTTAAATGCATAATGTGCGACTTGATAGATTTCAACAGTCCAAGTACACAAAATTCCATTAGATCTAAACTTGCTTCGCCTTTAATACCGTCTCCAGAAACTCCTACTACTTCTGCCAATAGTACTCCAAATACTGTTGTTCGTCCAAGTTCTTCTCGCAATGGAAAACGTAGCAAATGGAATGATAATCCCTTTGACTTGGCTTTGCACAATATGATGGAATATGCAAGTAAGAAAGAGGATCCATTTGAAGTAGTATTTGAAAAGGCACTGAAATGTAAAAATCAGTGTAATATGCCAAAGACTTGCATAGAATTTAAGGATGATTTTACATTGACACGTAAAAAGCCTTTTGAGATCCCGAAAATGAACAAGACTCTGGATGAATCATCGATGAATATTCATTTAAATACATCATCTTACACAAAAGATCCTGTTCTAAATATGATTGAAGATGACAGTATAATTCAAGATCTAAACAATACAAATTTACTAAGTGATACTTGTAAAAATAAAGAAGATTGTGTGTCAATGAAAGACAATACAATGCCAAATATAAAAGTTGAGCCATCAAGTCCTTTGGAAACATCAATTCTGAGTCAATCATTACTGAATGACACTTTATCAGAAATTAGTCTAAATTCACTGGAACAGAAAAATACATTAAGCAGTTCAATCTATGCTCAAACAAAAAATGTAGGCACAACAAAGCTTTCGTCCAATGAGGTATTTAAATTTTCAAAACATCATCGTTCTCTCTCAGCGAAAGAAACAAAATCACCTAAGAATCTGATACAGTACAGCGTTAGGTCACACTCTACAGCAGAAATTTTAAAACTTCGTGCGTCTGAGACAAGCTCAGTGTCTAGCTTACCTTCAGTTCTTTTTGATGACTCTATGAATAAAGCATTCTTGGAACCAAGGATCAGTAGCAGCTCTTTTCAAACTGACATTTCAAATATTTCCAATACATCGAAATTAAATTCTACTTCAAGATATGATTATTCATCATCTATTTTTTCCGATGGTTCTATGAACCGCGCATTTGTCGATAGCTGTTCATCTGCCAAGTGCAGCAAGGGGTTTGATTTTAGTTCACCAGCTCTTCGTCGATTAAAATCTGCGAGTTCTCTAAATACAGCTAATAACACCAGTTCCGCATCAAACTCGTCCGACATGAGTCATTTAGTAAGCACATTGCAAAGGATTCGGATAAACTCAACAAATATCCCAACATCACCAATTGAAACTGTAAGAAGCGACGTTAATGAAATGAATTGTATATCGGATAAAATAGATCAAGATATTATTAATCCAACGGTATCAGCAAATCAGCCGGAAATGGAAAGCAAATTATTAGATATAGATGTTTTCCATCCTGAGATGGAGAACCATGCTGAGAGAAATGCTAAAAATTCAACATCTTCTTTAAGCTCGACCGATTCTGTGTTTGCAGTAAGTTATTTTATGTCGTTTTCTTCATGTAAAATTTGTTTGTTCTTATTCGATCGTTTTAACTTGCTACAGGTAAATAGTAAGCTAGCTACATCTATAATCGAAGAAGCTAATGCTCTTGCAAAGCTGTTTGGGGAGTTAGCATATAAATCGGAATGTGAGTGTTACATTGTTACATAATCCTACCATTTATTTAATTCCTCATTATTTTTTTTATAGCCACCATTTCCAGTTCGGATGATCTGGTAAATAGTCGACCACGATGGAATTTCGACGAGTTGCCACCCTCGGATGATGAACAAGATGTGGAAAATCTAATCGAATTGCCCGTTTCACCTTCAAATCCTGAATCTATAATGGATGAACGATCCGAACTAGAAATCATTAAAGAGAATAAGCTGCTTGATTTAAATGACGTGAAAAAAAAAACAGAAGTTATGAATGAATTAGAGAAGGGATTTATTAATCCCACAACTTCTGACAACAAAATTATGGCGGCTACATTACTGTTTGATCTCGAAAAGTTGGTCAAGTTGGAAAATAATCTAGAGGCTGCGACATTGTTACATAATTTAGAAAAAGCCTTGGGTGTTAAATGCGAAAATAATGTTGAATTACTAACGGCGTGTTTAGAAAACACAAATGATTTGGGAAAAAGCCCTAAGAAATTCAACAGTGGGAAAGCTATTGATAATATACAAGCTGAAAACATCGAGAAAAGTCATGAAGATAATACAAATATTGATAAACCGCTAAATACATTAGAATTGAATGATTCAGCATGCAAAGATTTGGCTAATAATTTTAATACAGATGAGGGAGTGAATAAGGCTGAAAAAATGTTGGGGATAACGCAGAATGCATTAGGCGAGATCGTACCAATGACAGAAGAAATTGGAGAAACATCGGATACGGTATTCGATGATTCTATTCTTCTGGAGAAAGAGAAAAATCATGCACTGTCCGAACAGAAAATAGCAGCAGAGCTGCTTATCAGTATAGGGAAGGCATTGAGTGGAGAAAACAAAGATCAGTCAAGTATAAATTTACTGGCGAGTGTTGGCAAAATTTTAAATGTTTCATCAAGTTATTTGAATTCCGAAAGATCGCGACAAAATAATTCTGAGGAAGGGGAGAAAAAAACACCCACAAAAAAGACTGTCATTAAGTCAAAAGTGCAATATCCCTCCAATTTATCGAAATCTATGAATAGAAGGAGCTTAGAATCATCATCAAAGGTACAATATAATTTCTATAACTCAAATATCGTCCATATGAATGAAATTCATGTAAACTCTGTTGAATTTAATAAATATCTAACAGGAACATTCTGCGAATGAAAAGTTGCCCAGAAGAAGTTTGTCTGGCAGTCGCGCAAGCGGAACTTACGGTACTTCAGTTTCAATAGAGAAAACAAAATCTCTACCAAGAGATATGAAAAAGCAGTTTTCCAGTGACTCTGATATAACGAATAGAAGAAGCACGTTAAAAGGTTTTGTAACATCAGTAAAAATTTTCTTTTCTCATTTGATTCTATAATTGCAAAACTCTACTTGTTTAACTCTAGATGTTAAAGTGAAGCCGGTGGCAGTGCCAGATATACGAAGGGAAAAGGCTCCGACTCTTGTCAATACGGTGAAGAATAAACTTAGAAAGAAATCAGACGCAGATGTAATTAAGAAAGGACCAATGAAAGCAATTGTTCCTTTAGGCAACATGCAGAGACGAGGTAAAAAACACTTAGAAAGGTTATTCAATAACCTTTTCATGAAATTTCATAACAATATATTATTACAGGAAGCTTAGGAAAAAGAGTTGCTCCATCATTGGGCTCGATTACTCCACCAAAACTTGGATTTACTACTCCTTCTGCTTTCACTGTAACCAACAGTACTCCCAATTCAAGTTTTAATATTCCTGTTGTGAAAAAGTCTCCAAAAGCTAAACCTGTTGCCTCATCAACTCCAGATGCAGATGTATCCAAGGCACGAAGAATTGTTTCACAATTATCTCAAACTGGCATGAAGCGTAATGTTTCATGCAATATATCTCCAGTAATACCTGATACTAATACTAATAATGCAACTACTACATCAAAGGGTAGTCCTAGAGTGTAAGTATTGAATCCTTAAAGAATTTACCATAGTTAATACAGAAAGATGAGCATTACACATAACGTTTCCAGAGCTAGACATAATAAAACGTTGTCTCCGCAAAAGGGACAGTCTCCGAGATCTGGTCACGTACATAATAAGACCGAATGCAGTATTCCAAAATATTCACCATTAGTAGGGCTTGCGAGGAAGAATTCTTTCAGCGAATCGGCACGAGATCAGGATCGTTTTGGATCTCCAAAGAGTTCGCTGACAAAGTCTTGTTTACCGTTGAGTAAACGGAAGAGCGAGAGTGAATTACTGCAGAGCAATCCCTTGAAGAATAACAATAAACAGTGCACAAAAATTAAACCATTAAACTTGGTACGTTCATCCATTAACCAGTGACTAGCATTAAAGGAAAACCTTAATTACTCAATTCTATTTCAGTTCTCGAAACTACATCGACGTAGTGGTACAACGGCCGAGAAGGAAAATCAATCTTAATTATTAATTATTAAAGCATCATTCCATTTTAAGCAGCTTCATATTATTTCACGCTTAACATTGTTTCAAGCTGCAAATTTGAGATATTTTGTTCGTCATAATGTATTGCATAGGGTATCTGATAAATTTTCTATAATTTTTATACGAGTCGTATTTTGTACTTTTTGCAATAAAATATTTTACGAGATACAATACCACTCTGCTTTGTGAAATCTTCCTCAATTACCATTTCGAATTAATCGAGTGAAGTAATATAGTAAATTGATCACAGCGACATGAAACTATAAATCATCGATCACGATTACCAAAATTATATTAAGCAGAGTGAAAAGATAAAACATCAATTCACGCATAGGTATAATCATAACCGTCATAAGTAGATTACTTAAACGTGTGTTATTCAAGAGATCTATTAAAGAGCACAAGAAGCGCAATTAAAATTTAAAGAGAAACATATCATATGTGTATTATAAAATTGTTGAGACTGTTGCGTCAGATCCGTAAAGCCGGTTATTTGATTCATCCACGAAGACCGATTACAGCGCCACGGAGACGCTCGAAGTCAAAGCGGACGACTAATGAATTACAGAGCCGTGTGCCTGCAAAAAGTGCGCTCCGCGTGTCCGTATTCCGGCGGCCCGTCCATGTTCTAAACCGCGCCCGGGCCGCGCTCTTGGATATTCACGAAATTTGCAGTGGCAGCGGCATCGCACAACATAACACAAACGTGCAAATAATTCTGTGAAAGGAGAGGAAGTCGTCGGTGCCCGTGAGGAAAAGTGCGCTAGGGTTTCACGCGGTTCAATCTTTTGCGTGTGAACAACGTCGGCAGCCGGCGAGGCGCGCCGTCTCTGGAAAAGAGCGCGTCTCGGCGCGTTCCCGTGCTTATCGACATTCGGCCGAGAATTTTATTCGGTCAGCCTCATCAGCCCATTCGACGCCTCGCACCCAGTTTTCTCATTTTGCAATCCAGTGACAACGCGTCTATCGTGCAAGCTAAGGTGTACTGGGTCCTGTCGCGTGGTTCTTTTTTAGTTGTGATTCCAAACGTAAGACTTAGAACTAAGAACTACAGTGCAGTGCAAAATGTGCCTTCAGCGCGATTAAGCACATCGTCAACGACAAATCGTCTGTACTGCATATAAAAAAACCTATCCTTGTGTGCTGGGAAATATGCGCGTGCCGTTTCTCAGTCATATCTCAAGCAACGCGACGGTTTGCTTATTTGACATGTATTGAAATTTGCTCTTGCCGTTTGATCGTTGTTCTATGTGGACATTATTTATGGACCGCAAATCAGCGCGTGTCGCGCCAGGACCTCGACACGGAATAATAGGAACTGCCTGACATTGTCGTTATCGGCAAGACACGTTTTACGCTTCACTGTCTCGACGGGCTTTCTTAACCGACATTACTAATCTTTTCTTGGCTCTGTGGTATTGTGACAATTAGCGCACACGGAATGGATATTTTACGCGGTGCAGTTCGATCGAATGAGACGACCTCGCTCCCTGTGGTATAATCGGCAATTGTCTAACGCGAACGTTTCACTGTTTATTATAAACCAGCAGCATCATTTGCCGCCGAATTAAACGTACTTCGTTGATATTGCGCGCTGATAAACTTCTGCAGTATACAAGAAACGATGATCGACAATACGAATCGCACTAATTGTTAATGGCATCAAGAATTGAAATCCACATGCAAATTACGCGCTGATCTCGAATGTCCTGGTACATACTTGCGCAGTGAACTCTTTTTACTTTAATGATGTGCCATATTTTTGTGCACTGATGTCAAAGAAGTTGCATTGAATCCTGACGCTTGTGATACTTATATGAGATAATACACGTATATAAACGCTGCGTATATAGAGTCGATTCCTCTGATACTCTTATTCCACGGAATATTGAAAATCGTATTACGCGTGCGACACTTTCGCAAGAATTTGATTATTAATTGAAGACTGTTAAGTACTCTAAATGAGTACGAAGATTAATTATCAGTGATTTGATTCTTTTGCGTAGTTCGATTGGAATTTCGATTTTGCTCGATGTTTAGGCAGAATATATAGACTATGTGAGACATACATATGTACTGTTAGGGAGAAACGTGCCTATGAAAAACTTGATAAGAAATCTTCATACCTCGTGCAACCTGATCCTACGAGCGTCGCCTGGGTTGTGTAAACATTGGCGTATGGAAAAGAAAGAATAAGAAAAAGTACTCTGACAATAAGAAGCAGTCGCAGAGCACCCTAAAGGACACGAAACAATTGTTGCGCGACGGCAAATTCAGAGCCATTGTGAAAATATCCAAGTTGAAGCAGCTGTATTAGAGCGCGAGGTGCGCCGGCCCGTGCGTAAATCATCTTGGACCCCACCTTGACATAGCGACGAGAACAATAAAGGTACGCGATGCAGCATCGAGTGGAAGCCCAGATTCTCCACGAGGAACAGATCTTGGAAGCGATTGACCAGCTAAGACGGCGTAAAGCGCGTCCTGACGCTGACCGAATCTGCAATTATTTATTGCGAAAGTTCTCGGTGGACGCGCGTGACACCATCGCTGACCTCCACCGGCTGATCGAGGCTGAGAAGGTGATCCAGGTCGACTATAAGGGAAACACGAGCTATCGTAACGCTTCAAAGTGGTCCCGGCTGCAGCTGTACAAGAACAGGCCGGAGGGCTTCGTTAAGGAAAAATTGAACTCTGCAATGGTTGCAGGCGCTGTCGCTGAGCTGGTTGTTGAGGAGCCAGATTACCTTGATCAGGGTGTACCGGGTTACCGGCTGGTGGAGCAGCTGCTGGACGGTGTGTCCAATCCTACCTCGCGCAGGATGGTCGAGGACTTTCTCGGCAAAGAAGTGGCGAGCGGCAATATTACGCGGCTTCCTAACGGCAATTACTCCTTGGTGGCAACGTCCGACATGACGGCAGAATCCGCGCAACATAATTTTTGCGAGAATGGTGTGCAAAAGGATATGCTCAATGTGTCCACGACGGGGCTTTACGATTTTGATGAGACGGAAGACGTTACGGTGACGGATTCTAGGTCGAACACTCCTAGGTCATCGCGACAAGCCAGCCCCAAGCCTGATCAAGTTAAGAGAGAGGAATGTTATGAGATTATTGTTGCTCCCAAAAAGCCGGAATCGCCTAACGAGTCTCTTAAGGAGGAGTCACGCGAGGATTCCCGGAATCACCTTCCAGAACTTAAGGATGAGACTAAAATCATCCTCGAGAATTCGTATTCTAACCTTAAAAGATCTGCAAAAGCCGAACGTAAACAGCGCCTCGAAGTTAGGACGGATGATCCTATGGATATAGAGATGAAGTTCGAGGATTATAGGACAGAGACGAAAGATGAACGAGAGAAGAGGGAAGATGGTGAACAGCTCAGTGAGGAACGGGATGAAGAGGATGCTGGAAGGAGTTCTACCAATCCTTCGCCAACACCTTCCACACTCAATGTAGGAGGTTTTAGAAGTGCTCGCAGAAAGGTGTTTTTCATTTTGCCTTATTGTAAACATCTAGCTTGCATCATAGTGTATCTTATATATCAGCTTTATGTTAAGCTAAAGTTTATTCTTCTATGGAAAATAACATGTTTTATTTTTTTTCAGAGGGCAAAGAAAGTATTCGACCCTTCGGATAATAATCTTGTTAAACGTAAGCGTGGTCGACAACCTGGAACACAGAATAAAAATTCTTTAATTGCTCAGGAGCCACAGGACTCTAACAAGTCTACATTGAAAGATGGACCAAATCGTCAGTGCAGTCTATGTGCTAAAGAGAAGCAAGAAAAACTAGTTGCATGCCGGGATTGTACTGTTCGTGGTATGTACCATCACTTCATGTTACTCCATTTCATTCTTCTGTTCTTGTTTCTTTTACTTAATTGTAATAATGTGTTCCAGCTCATCCCAGTTGTATATATTCTCCAGAAGAATTGATACAAAAATTAGGTAGCAGTTGGCAATGTGAACGTTGTAAAAGTTGTATAGTCTGTTGTGAAACTTCAGATGCTGTAAGTACAAATTTTCTTTTAATTATCATGTCTTATTGTAAACTTACTAAAATTTCAATACAAATCCATTGTTTGCCTTGATAGGGTCCTTTGGTAACCTGTTTCTTTTGTGACGATGCGTACCATCATGCTTGCCACACACCTCGAATAACATTATCCAAGTCAAATTCTAAATGGCACTGTAATAATTGCACACAAAAACAGTCTAAATCTACTGTATCACAAAACATAAGTATACTGGCAAGTCGGCCAGACACGCCTTCCAATCCACCTGTCTTGCCACCTGTATTAAGTCCGCAAGTCTCGCCAGCGAGAGGATCGTCTGATCAAATGGAAGATGACAGCCCTCGTGATGGAATTGATCCAAACATACCCGATGCTTCAGACTGGACGTCGGACCAAGTGTATCAATACTTCGCGAGATTATTTCCCAAGGAGGCCGAGGTGTTTAGGCAACAAGTAAGAACATTCTGAATCTCTATGGCAGTATTGTATACCGATTTCTTTTCTCACTAACTACAATAATATATAACACAATTTTATCCGTGACATTGCAGGACATAGATGGCCACTCCTTGTTGTTGATGAAGCGTTCGGATGTGTTGACCGGTTTGGATTTACTTTTGGGCCCAGCCTTGAAGATCTATCGACATGTTTTGAAATTGCAAGTTCGCAGGGACGACCCACGAATGTATTGGCTGTGAAGGTTTCTTCTTTTTCTTCGTGTTTTTGCTGGAACAAGGTTGTGCCTAAGTAAGGATAACATTTGGCAATAGGTTCAGACATGACATAGTCAATTGCCATTATGCGTTTTCTACGTAATGCGTGTTTCCCAACGTTTCTTTGGATTCTGAAAGCTTTTTTGGTTTTGTATATAGCACGTTAATCTTGCATTCAGAGGAACGTTGTTAATCACCTTTTAAGAGAGTTTTTATCTGTAGTTTAATTGTTGAGATGCGCTAGGGACGGTAGCACAAAGGACTGGTAGTACCGCCGTCTAATTTTGTACTGTATCATAGTAACTTATGTATCATCCAGGAGTCATGTACAATAAACATTTATCACAAGCGAACACTGTCTTAAATAGTTCAAAATTTAATGCTACATCGTCCTTCCAACATAAATCAATATAATTGTTTCAGAAATAATTGCTGTTGTTGAATTGTTGTATATTATTGTTAAACGATTAGCAATCTTTTATGAGGGATACGTAAATTAATGCTTACATATTTTTAGCTTAGTTCGAAACGCTCACTGAAATAAATGCTATTTATGTACCTTATTAAGATAATATATTCTTTATTTCTTCACCATTACATATCAATAAAATACGAATATTAATTAAATGATGTTTTCGAATTTTTTTTCACTGGAGGAACGCGTTACCTTGGTTTCAAAACTAATTTTTCCTTTTTTTTTACATACCGATTAATTATGAAATTACATAAAATATGACACTGAGAAGTATGAAACCAATGTCACTTCCTCGAATAAGAGTAAGTATTTGTATTCTATATATACCTACATACGTATAATCTACTTATAATGAAATATTTAGACTGACATTAATGTTTTCAGTATATCTAGTTGGAAGTAGCATAAACACGGAACAATGCAAGGTGTTTCGAGGACATGTAAAGGAGTTTTAAAGTACGATTTTTAACTTTATTCACTTTATTTACTTTCTTGACAGTCTAACAGTATTGTTAATAAAACTGGATAACATTGTACTAGACAATGTTCCTCAGTCATGATGCTGAAATCTACATCTTGAATGCGAAAGTGCAACAGTAAACGTTTAGACGATTGAAATAGTTAATGCTTTAACAGTAATCTGCTAAGAATTCACAACTACGTTTTCTACATATTTTTTTTTACTTAACTTGCTGACGGGAAAGGGATACTTAGTAGCTTGTCGTGGATGGAACAATATATTGAGGACCCGGTTGTATATCCATATTATAATTTTATAGAATTCTTGCATAAAAAATGTCCTTAACAAGCAATCTGCGATATCATTTTCATTAATTTAAGAACTTCTTCACTTCCAATTTTCCATTAATCTAATAACATTCAAGAAATTCAAGTAAATATAATTTATTGCTCTTTATATTACTGTAAAAGTTAAGCTATGAAGATGGTCTTGGGATTAGAGATATTTGTATACATATTTATCTTTGCACAAATATTGTATATAATATTGCCTCCTGGTACATATATTATAGAGTGGGAGATTAATTATTGTATAATAAATGTGTACTCTATTGGGTATGACTGTTCTGTGAAATATTATAAACTGTCATTTTTTTAAATACGAAACTTCAGATACCCTGTGTTAAATTTTTCTAATGTGGTATCACCATGTTTTATGTTCTATTAAATTTTGTTACATCTTTAACCACAGATCTTACTCAGTTATTCGTTCATAAGATGTTCATAAGAATGCATATTTTCATAAGTATTCTGAAATGCATTATGATAAACCCTTTTATATTCATATTCCAAAATAAGTCCCAAAAAGCTCACCAACAAGAAAATGTCTCTCACTCTGAACTGTATATGGTACTTTTCAAGTCTTTACGTCGGAGGTCATTTAAATTGTAAGTAATTATTTGAGGTAACTGCATATGTGGAAATAGATCGAATTAATTAAATTAGTAATTATTAAATAGCAACATAATTATTTGTTAATAATATGTGTAATATGAAATGACCGAAGTCGATATTAAAAGGAATTATGATATTTACACAAATCCAGATTCTGTCTAATTAATGTGTTATTGGAATCAATAAGAATTCTTTGTTGGTCTTATTTGAGGTTCTGATTTTCGTTGTACCGTGATTTGGATTTCCGATTGTTCAAAAGACAATTATAGTGGCTGAGCGTATTCTTATGTTTGAACATTATTCTCGTACTTTTTCCCTTTATATTAATATTCCCATTATACAAGATGCGCATACTATGCGAATGCAAACTGATATTACAAATAATTTGAGCAAGCTGATGTAGTTATCAATGGGGACGTATTATAAGAATTTTCAAACATTAATCACTAGTCAAACGCGATTCTAATCGTAATAATCTTTGGAAACATAATCACAGAATAAAAACATAAAGGCGTAAATGAACAAATTCCCGACGAAGAAACTTTTGTATATATAAAATTGCATTGTCAATTCTTAAAACGCCATTTAAAGATATCAACATTTCTTTGGAAAAATGTAATTTTTGGCAAAATTAAAAGAGCCATCTACATAATGGAATTAAATATTAATCATCATATCGATGATGTATCTGCAATAACAATGTACTACTATAAAGATGAATATAACGTAAAGAAAATTTTTTAAATAATTCATTGTAAAAGTTAAGAAGTTGTTCTATTCCGAGCAAGCATAGAAAAATTAAAACACGACATATAATTTATCTAATAAGTGTCGAATCTAATTAACACTTACAGTTGTATGCTCGATTATAGATTAATTTATATAATTTTAGGTCTATCTTTTACTCGAGAAAGAACTATGTTGATTACTGCGCGACGTTGACGAGAATTTGCATATTAAGTATCTACTCATCTTAATTTCACTAATTTAATTTCTTTAATTTTTCAATAATTTGCTGTATTTGTTATCCAAAATTATCGTGACAAGACAGCCAAACGAATATTAAAAATTTATTAACTTAATATGATTCATGACGAGAACGTTTTGTTGAGAAACGTTACGGTAGATCTGTATTCTACCGACCGAGTGAAATATTTTGATTTTGTTGCTTCAAAACTGTCGCAAAAACCATAAATGACACGAGAAGAACCTTTAGAATAACATAAACAAAGCTTGCATAAATTTGAAAAAACATAAACTTGCTTTTAAATGAAATGAGTTCAATATTAAAATTTTAAGTCAGTATCTATTGACGTAATAATCTAATACCTACAGATGTAGAGCAAACATCAAATGACCCGAATTTCCTTTCACTCTGAACTCCTTTATTAAGTTCAAATTTAAATAATCAAGAAAGATTTTTGTAGCAGTCAAACAACAGAGTATCTATCTATCTAAAGTTTCAAGTTAATATCATTAACATCAACATTTTCGCTGTATTTTGGGGGTGGCTTTTTATGCAAAGGTGCCTCGTCTGGCATGTATACGGTCACTTTGTTTGGAATATTACACTTTTCAACATTTATATCTTCTTCCTCGGATTTCTCCGGCGATAAGCAAAGCCATACAGCTGATATAGCTGCGACTACTATTGCAGTTGCAAGCATCCAACGTGGTATTCCTGTGTGGCGTGAAGCACACTGTAGCCAATCTGATCCAGGTATCATTGCAGATTGTTCGGTTTCTCCTGAATAGTCTGATGGATTGCCGTAGTCCACGGTCTGTTCCATTATTAATATAAGTCATGTGTTACAAATGTAACTTTGTAGTATATATGTATATTAAGGTGCAATACAGAAATATGTTAAGCATTTCATATAATTTGTTAAAAGAATGAAATTATGTAAGCAGACCACTGATCATGGCAAAATTAATTGATTCTGAATTATAGGTTTAATTTTAACAAAGGTCCTGCATATAAGTGGTTGGTACAAAAATAATTGATGTAATTTATAAACTTACCCCTGCATCTATAGGGACTGTTTTAATATAGGTCTGTGGTAGCTTAAATCCATTAGAGTCCCACCAACCAGGTAACAGTTCCTTTCTTAATCCAGGATCTGTTAGTATGTCATTATCCGGGACATCTGGTGACATCAATAGTATATTCGAGTCAACTCCTTCTTCAACGTAGATAGCAACTGACAAAAGGCATACTAGATCTAAGTTACGCTGCTTGGCCATAGAGTCACAGCCTATGGTACAAGCATAGCGGTCATCTTGCATTGTATATGCTTCTGTGCATGCTGTAAAAAATTATTTACATGTAGGTATAATTTAGAACTCTTTATCAAAACTGGAAAATCTAATCAAGTATAACAAAATATATGATGTATGAAAATATAATATAGAATATACTAGAAAATATTTATTATTAGAGCATACATGCTTCACAGGCATCCCTGGTACCATTTAAGCTGTCAGGTTCTAAACCATGACGCAGATCAACCAGATTAAAAAACCTGCAACCTCTCTGGCAACACGATTTGGAGTATTCATTCTGAAATATGACGACAATAAGATTTGTTCACGTCAATCAATATAAGCAGTATTATTAAATATTGTACAAGACAACTGACATGCACGAACAACAATTTAAATGAACAAATTTGCATACAATTGCAAAGGGCAGTGGAGCCTTTTCACAGAGATATACACACGGATCCTCCCGATTCATGAACTTATAAAGCACATCACCCCGGCTAAGATCCGCAGTAAATAGTATTAGCAATGCAAAAATTTCCTTATATCTTCTCATCATGAAGAAATCCGATTTCTTTACGTACTCGTCGCTGTGTCAAAATAATCTGTTAAACAAGGATACTACACTTGATAAGGATGGTAGCTCGATGAATAATCGAGTAAATATCGATTTAATTATGGTGGGAACGCGCGTTACTGGTCGGCGAAAATGTCAGCTGAAGATCCGTCCAATGAATACATGAAACCCCGGTTGGGTCTGCGTCGTCTGCTTTGAGTTTTTGGTCTCTGAGATTTCCGGTTATCAAGAGTAACGCTATAAAAATTGCCGCTGTAAAAATTTCGTTTCAAAATACAATGTGTCTAAATAATTTTGAATAACGCATCTACTTACGAGTACAATAATAAATAAATTCTAGCACTAAACCTGTTTACCTATAACGCTCTAGTTTATTACGCATTATAGGTAATGGAAATAGAATTGGATGACGCTCCAATCATTTTATTTATATAGCAATTTGATCATGCACGTTTATTAGAATCTAGATAGATTAATAATAATTTATATAACAAAGAAAAGCACAAACATTTTCCAATTCACTCTGACTCTTGCAATTTAAATTAGACGTAGACATATGTGCGCGCAAGCGTATTCAATATAATATATGGCTAAGCCATATTGTCTTTGTCATAATCAAATCAATTAAATCCATTGTTATACACAATCTAATTCTAATAAACAGTTTTTATGCTTCAACAACCTATATTTTTATTTTGACAATCATATAATGGCGATTTATTGTAATATCTATATTTTTAAAACAGTATATAGCCGTTGACTTTATTGTACATGGCTCTCGAATTGTGTTTACAATTTTACTGTTATGAATTTTTGGAATTCGCAAACCTTTGACATTTACACAAACGCTGTAGTCATTTTTTAGCGAGAGTACGTGCCTAAGAAGTTTTATTTAGTTTCAAGGTTATCGCTAATTATGGCAAGAATCTTCGTGAAGGCATTGGCCGGCAGAGGCGGCAGCTTCTAAAGCATACGGGACCACGTTTCCAACAAGATTCGGTAGTCCGCAGCAGTTTGCAGTGGTCTGTCTTCTGCCGTCGTGCGATTTGGGTTGTTGGGAGTCTTTACATTCCTGTTAACTGATTATTTTCTCATACATCGTGAGTAGTAAAATTAGTCGGTTCCCAGAAAATTGTTATAACTCGAGAATATATTTACTGTTATAAATATACTCAATTTGACAATTGTTATTCTAGAGTAATTATCACATTAATTAAGTAAACGGCACATTTCGCATAGGAACTTCTGGTTTAAAATTGTATATCGTTATAGAACAGTAATATCTTTGTGAAATTAATAATAGTGTCATTGACTAGTGCAAAGTATCAATAATCGTTTCATTGTGATTTTTAACTGAATCTAATCAATTTTATTATATGATATAAGCCATATGTTTCATGAAAATTTAATAGTCTTTTAACATATCACCACATAATTGGGACACAGTTGTTATGTGATAAGAGATATTTTTTTAGATTTTCCTTACTTATATAATTTATACCACTTAATTGATTTTTTTGAAGATGATGCAACATTATAATATATGTAATGAGTAACAACTGGCATGACAGATGCTTTTTCAGATATGGCAATTTTACTGGTATTTGGCTCACTTCCTTTTAGAACTTTTCAAAACAACTTTAATTTGTGATTATTAAATATTCATATGCAAAATTAAGTAATATTGAGTCTATTCATTGGTAATTGTTTAATTGATCTTTATTAGCATAATTGCTGGTAGTAAGGTTTAATTCATATATGTATAACAAAATTGTATAATTACCCAGTCATCTATTCATGTTCCATTTATGTAATAACATTAAAATATAATACTAAATATAGATGAATTTAATATTTGCTGTTTGATATTAAAAGTTATTTTTTTTATAGCTCCTCAATCATGCCGACTAATATCCAAGATGGTTTTGCAACAAGAGCCATTCACGCAGGACAAGATCCACTGCAATGGAGTCATTGTTCTATTGTTCCTCCTTTAGTAATGTCCACAACTTTTCGGCAAGACGCACCAAATGAACACAGAGTAACTTAAACAAAGTATTTTTCTACATAGTCAAACGTGTTGATGTAATTAATTATTGAGTGTCGATTTTCAAAAAATTCTGTAATTAATTTCATGAGTGACATTTAAATTTTGATTGTGTGGTCTGAATAATCTTGCATTATTGAAATGATCAGGCAGTTTCAATATAGCATTGCTATGTCATTATCAATCATAATAATTGGTCAAAATTAATACATCACTCTCCTCTTACAGATGTGCCAATTTTAGCCAATTATTTTCAATCACATGTCGTTTACAGTTCATTTCAAACTTGGATATACTTGCTATATTGAATATGACTATGAACATTAATTTTTACGTTTCATATTGCAGGGTTTTGAGTATGGACGATCAGGAAATCCTACTCGTAATGTTTTGGAATCATGCTTAGCTGCGCTAGAAGGTGGCAAACATGCATTTGCATTTGCATCTGGCCTTGGTGCAACAACAGGTATTATATCATTATTGCAATCAGGAGATCATCTTGTATGTGGTAATGATATATATGGAGGAACCAACCGGTTTTTCCAAAAGTGTTCTTCTAAGCAAGGCATTAAAGTTACCTTCGTGAATGCGAGTGATCCAAAACAGATTATAGATTCTGTACAATCCAACACAAAGGTGAGTAAATGTATAAAATAATTAGCATTCGCATTCTGCAAAGCATTATGAATATATTCTTAAGCAATTGATCATTCCGATGTTTGAGTATATAAATTATCAGACTCACTGTATACATATTGACATGTTTGGTAACTGTAGCAGAATATCGGCAGTGTTCATTAATTTAATCTACAGCTTTATTTTTCTGACGCAATTATTGCTCAAATGATAAGCTCTCAGATAATGATAGTTGAACCACTTCAAACAATAAATGTTATTTACATTGGATATCTTTATGGACGTTCAGTTAATCTGTTGTCAAAACGTAAATTAAAAAAAAAGATAAAATTGGAAGTTAAATTTCATGCTTGTATGTGGTGAGTGGATTAAATTTTCGAATCATTGTTTCTAAGATCTTGGAATGTTTATACGTTCAGAACCGATAATCTTAGAATTTCTTCTTATAAGGGTATTGCCTCTTTTAAAAATCATACATTTAAATATCTTAGAGAATATTTTGGCAGTACATCTGATAATGGTTTTCATCATGTCAGGCAACGTCTCATGTCATTCCGTGATATATAAAAAGGAAGGTTAAACTTGATTATGTGGATTAATGACGAAATAAAGACAATTGATACTTTTTATAGCTTACAAGATATAGTGAAAAATTTATCCGATTCCAGCGGTTCCTGATAATGGGTCTTATGAATTTAATATTAAATTAATATAAAATTGATCAGACTTACCATAGATCATTCATATGGCATTAACCGATTATCCGTCAACATCATATTTCTTGTTGTAGATGATATGGCTAGAGACTCCCACCAACCCATTATTAATGTTAGTCGATATTAAAGCCGTTGTAGAATCTCTTAAGGCGACCCGTCCAGATATTATTCTTGTTGTTGATAATACTTTCTTAACATGCTATTTTCAGGTAAGTTATGTATATACATACACTGAATATTTGATTACGGTAGCATACGAAAAAATTATAGTTAAGTAAATTATTTCTTTGTTTGTAATTAGCGTCCTCTAGAACTTGGCGCAGATATTGTTACATACTCGTTAACAAAATACATGAACGGTCATTCTGATGTTATAATGGGTGCAGCAATTACCAAGTGTGATGATCTTGCCGAGCGATTGCGATTTAATCAAAATGGTAAACCGCTCTTGCAATATCGCCATTATTACAAAAAATATTTAATTTAAGGCGTATGAAGGAATTTTAGAATGCTTTTCATTAAATTATTCTTTTGTTAGCCATGGGTATCGTGCCATCGCCATTTGATTGTTCACTGGTAAACCGTAGTTTGAAAACACTGGAACTGAGAATGAAGCAACATATGAAGAATGGTCTTGCTGTCGCCAAATATTTAGAAAAACATCCTCTAGTTGAAAAAGTTATTCATCCACGTAAGAAGAATTTATATCTATAATTAGAATTGTTGCAAGGTATAAAGTGACAATCTTATTTGTCACATTATACGTGAGAATTGAATATGTATTTTTATTCTCATAGTACTTCCATCTCATCCACAACATGAATTGGCCTTGAAGCAAACAACTGGTCACAGTGGAATGATCTCTTTTTATATTAAGGGTGATTCCGTTAAATTTTTAAAGGCTTTGAAATTATTCTGCGTAGCCGAATCTCTTGGCGGATACGAATCACTTGCAGAATTGCCGTATGTATAATTAATGTAGATATATCCATTGTGGAGAAAATTATAGATAAGCAAATGATTGAAAATAAAATTTTCTGTTATGTTAGATCAGTCATGACGCACGCATCTATTCCTGAAGCAGAGAGAGCAGCATTAGGTATTACTGATCAATTAATTCGCTTATCTGTGGGACTTGAATCTGAACAAGATGTGATAGCTGATCTTGATCAAGCTTTCAAAGTGTGCCAATCAAATGATGCAAAATTTTAGCAATACTTTAATAAATAATAACAAATTTATCATAATGTTATCACGTATATATGTATATTTTTTTTTTAGTAGATTCAAATTTTGTATATACCTTTTGGTGCGGGTAACCTTCGGTATCTAAATTTTTAATTAATTATCATTGTTTATAGATGCGATTCGGGGCATAATATTTTCTTGTCTCGTTTGAGCCACAGTTTCATATAATATATTGCTCTTTTTTTCATGTACAGCAAGTCCTCGAGTTACACAAATTAAATTGTGTGGCAACCTACTGAACGAATTAATCGACTAAGTCGAGAATTTGCTGTATATAATATTTACAATATTTTTAGTCACATCATTGTTTATCGTTGGTATTTTACTGATAATTCGTATACTGTAATTTCTGCGAGTACAAATTTCATGTATAGTCTGCATAATATTATATCGAACTTTACAACTCACATTGCTTTTATCGTAAAGTAGAAAAGTCTTGTTCCATGGTAAACAAAACTGTTTTGGATACGAACAATTTTGTTTATATATGAATGTGCGACGCTTCACATGAGAATGTCATTGTGAAAATAAATATTCACTGTTAACCTACTTTTATACTGTTTAACAAGCGAATTTTTGTATCAGACTATTTCTTCAAACACGCGTGTTGAGATGACTTGTTAAGCTAATCTATTTTGTTCTGTTTTCGTTTATGTACGTAATATGTAAGTAACAAATTATTGAAGATTATAAATAAATATTTATTCATTGCTTCTCGAACATCTGCTAGCGATTCAATTGACCTACACTTTATGCCCACTTTCCGGTGAAAATAATTATGCAACTTTATACAATATTTTATTCGTAAAGGATACAATACACTATTTACGAAACATGTACTTGAAACTTTTCTTCGCCATTTTGACAGACGTGTTTCTCCTATCATGATTAAATTTTGATGCATTAATTCTTTAATTTGGTATGGCTAACTCATTCAATTTTACAAGACAGTTTGTTTCTTCATACAATTATATAACGAAGCAAGACATTTTTCTCTTCAAGAACTTTTCTTAAAAGATATACAATATACAACAGTATATTTTGGTCTGTAGTATAAAATACATAATTATGTTAATAATCGACATTATTTATTGGGTCACGTCACCATTAAGAACAATTTAGAAGTTCAAGTGATAAGGTTTTCATTGCTAAAGAACCGATTCAACTGTTCTTAGTACCACTGAAATATTATTATAATTGTCCTTCAAAGAACGTTTATATTAGTTTATTAATTCAGTCTAGTTATAATCATTCAGGAAGGTTTAAATGACAATTTGCCTTTTCTATATCTGACAACTTTTTCAACCCATTCGATATAAATTATTTTTATTTCATTAGAGTCCTAGGACAATAGTTTCCCGACGTACATATTTCGACGTATAAAGCCGATTACAAATGTCCTTAATATTTGGACACTTTTAAGGCTTTGCGCAAGGACTTTAACATGGACACATGACCGTTACCGGAAAAAAATAATACTTAAATTGAATTGTGGATTCGTTTAATGCTTATTGCATATTAAGTTGAATATGCCTTAGCTGAACGATGCTACTAAATAAATTGGACACAGGAATGTTATTTATAAAAATCATATAAATGCTATTTATCAGTAAACGATTCCTTAAGTTACATGTACCGTTATTAGAAAAGACTTTTGATTAAGTGATGATTTATCAGATATTATGCTATATCTATTTCGACTAACAGTACTTGGCCCACTGGTGTTGGCAATCAATAATAAATTAATTAATAAAATAATCTTCTGTATGTCTAACCTATAAAGAATACATTAAACGTGCTGTGAACCTTTCTTCCGACTATTTTACTCTCCATTGCAATGCATATATTTGGAGTATTAAATAAAATCATAAAAATGTATTTTACAGTTTGGAACACATTCTCGAGAAGATGCCAATAATTGACATAAATTTATTAAATATTCGATCTGCATCAGCATCTGCTCATTTCATGCACTCCATTTTAAGGTTCACATAACATTTATACATTTTTTACGTATCATTGTAAATTTACTTTCGAAGTACTCCTCACTTTTGCACTTTTCATTCTATCGTACTGCTGTGCCCGATTGTATAACAATACTCCAATAATTACTAATGAAGTTCCTAGAGCCGATAAGCCAGTTACCGGATTATTGAATAACAATACGGAAAGCCAAATTAAAAATGCTCTCTTAGCCGTATTGGCAACACTGCAATGGCAATAAGTATTGTCAATAATTAGTGTATAATTAAAATATAGTTGATTCTTAATAGCAAATCTTACCTATGCGTGACGGGACTAATATAATCCATAAGTACATAAGCAGTAATGCTTTGAAAATGGAAGAACACTCCATTGAGAAGGAATGCAGAGAATAATTTGAAAGATAGGGAATGCTCTAGAGTTGGTAAATCTACCAGTAATATTGAAACTGGTATTTGTACCACTATGGATGCTAGACTGGTATAAAATTGAAGCTCTGCAGGCCTGCAATAGATATATAAATTGTTATTAACCTCGTAAATATTTCTTTGATGATAGTTTGATTCCCACAATAGAAACAGATAGCTGACTCACGTGTATTTAAAATTATCACCGCTTATTAGCATCTTTGAATAAACGTTTTGTAAACATTCTGTTAAATTCGTGGCCATCGCTGCTACAAATCCTCTCAAATCAAAACTTATTTCGTTGGCAGAACAGAGGGCAAGACCTCCCATTACAGGTATTAATGATAAATTAACATAGAGACCAGTATGCTCACCTGAAATCCATGTTAATAATCACTACAATAGATAAAGTGGTAGAATTATTGCAAATTATAAATGCATTCAAATTTTCTTATGTAATAACCACATGTCAATCAACTGACAATGAGCTTACCTAGTAGATATCTGCTAATTAATACAGTAAAAAGTGGTGCACTACTTTTAATAGTTTCAGTGAAACTGACAGCTACATAATTGAGAGCGACCAATCCCAAAACAACTGTTGTGAATCGAGTGCATCCAACAAGTATCATATGTTTATAAAAGCCAGGTGGTCTCATTAAACGTGAGCTTGCACGATACATACCACATGGAAAGTACATCTGAATAAATCCACAGATTGCTGTCATCAACATTTGACAAGCACCTAGGATACCAATTTTATCGAAAATATATTTATGTATTTGACTTTAATATAAAGAAATTTTACCTAGTATGGTGGGATCTCCTTCCATGTACGACAGTATGTATTTGTTCAGGAATAATGTACATCCACTGAAGACATACCAGAGTATCAAGAACAAAAGTGCTCTAGGATTAAACAGTCCACCTTTTGTATCAGTGATCAGTAGAGCTTCCCCTTCACGTTTCTTCAGGTCATGCTGTTTCAGTGGATTATCAAATACCATAGTTATTTCTTCTGCATCTTTAGAGCTCTGGGTATAGTTTATGCGAATAGAATGATTATCCATGACAGTTGAACCACAGGTCAAAGATTTTTATGATACGATGGATATTCAATTTGTTGTTTTGTCGACAGCACTGTGTTTCTCCACATTCCGATACGAAATAGATAATAAACTGTTGTTCTTATCACTTTCTGCGCGAGGTTAAGTTTGCAAGATTGTGGAACCTTACAATTATAATAACGTGCCAAAATGTGTGTAGCACAGTTTTTTCCTCATTTAATCGAATTTATTCTGAAAATACAATTATTACATTTCATGAGTTAGATCATTATCAATTTGTGTTAATTGTTGTTAATATACCAGGTTAGGAGAAGTAACATGTATACCTGTGAAAGAATTTATTACCGGTTTGCATCATCATAAATATTAGTTGAGATAAACATTGTGGTATAAATAATATTTATTGTTACACTATAGTCATCAAATACAAATTTCTGTCACAACGTTAACACCTCACGATTTCCTCAATGGCGGAGAACAAACTTTTTTCTTCCACCCACTTCCACCCTCTGTTGGTGTATACGGTGTATACCAATTACATTTTATAATGACCTATACCCTATAAACAATCGACATCATATATTACACCACGTTACCGTAACAAAATATTGAATAAAAAAATAGACGTCGTTAATGAACAGGGTAAATAGTAACATTCCATTACGTATGATATGCTTTTTGAACAAGACATATTACAATGCATTGATTAGTACCAAAAGCTAGGAATATAATAAATTTCAATAATTTCCATGAAATACTGTTGCTGATACCTTTGGAATGAAAATTTAAATTTTTTAAATATGTACAAATTATAGCTCTGACAAGCGTATCTTTTTTAGCACTTTCTTATCTGATGGTTTTTGCGATGATGCTGAAGAATATTTCTGTAAATATTCATTATAAGCCAGTATAGCAACATTTCTTCCAGCTATGGCGCTCATTTCCATAGCACTTGCAGCCCATTCTATTGCATTTGTTTGATAGACTAAATCGTAGAGTTTAAAATTGTCATTGCGCAAAGTTGCACCATAATGTGGGTAGGCCTTCCATTTAACTTCCTTTACTTCATCAATCTGAAATTGGAGTTTGTTCCAATAATTATGTTACATTATATCATTATACATTTTTTAGTTATTACAAAAATACGTTTAATGTCGTACTTGTAGAAATATGTCGTTTAAGTCTTCTAATTTTAAAGACTCCTTGCTGAATATTTTCCAAACTCTCGAATCAGCTCCAGTATAACCTTCAACCGGAAATATTTTACCGATACTGTTGATCTTTGTATTTAGCAGGTTGCAACTCATTACACCGTCTAGTAGTTCCGCCAATCCAAAATATGATGGATTCAAGTCTCCCTGTACAAACGTAGCGACAGTTGTTTGATAATCTCCAGGAAATTTAAACTCTGTCCCGTTTGGGAATCCTTCAAATTCAATGGACCATTCTTGATCTTGGGTTAAGGGTGTAGCAATGATAACAATATCATAAAAACTGCTGTTAGAGATGCCTGAAAATTTAAAAAAATATGAAATTGAGGTATTGAGGATGACTGCATATTTAGGTGAACCACATGACTGATTTACTGTGTATTTTCTGCTCACCTTCCTGATCGTAAAAAATTTCATATTGTAATAATTTGTCGCTTTTTTGAGAATAACGAATTTTTGTTACTTGTGAAGGCACCACTTCTACTGATTTAGTTTTTGAAATAAGCCCTTTAGGTATCTTAAAGAGCAGAATATTGTAATTTATGATTTAACAATAATCATATAATTTCAAGACAATCAAAGATGCAAGATATACCTTGTCATTTCCCCCTTTCACAGCCCATAAATTAAAACCACCTCCAGCTACAGATGCACATCCAACAAAACTCTGAACATTAGTGTCTTGTCCATAATTTACAATTAATGTAGCTGTAACTAGTTCGTCTATTAACTTCGATGAATAGCCAAGGTTTAGTAAATGATTTTTTGTTGTTATGTCCATCATCTTTGGAAATTGTTCATTCATAGCTCCCATGAGAGAAGTTGTGTTAATAAATGTTGCTCCATTATTCTGAAGTTCATATATTGTCTCAAAATCTTGAAGCAATTTATTAATGTAACTATTCAAAATAAAAAATTATGTATGAGTCTGGTACAGATTATGGATATATAAGTGTTTAAATCCTTTTTCTTGCCAGATTTGACTTAGCAACATACCTGTACAGAGCAAAAGGCTGGAAACCATATCTATAAAAGAGTTTGATAAATGTTATGATTTCCCATTTACTCTCTTTAAAAACAAATTCCTTTCCATTCCACACACCATATCTTTGATTGTCAGGTGAGGGTCTTTGTTCCAACCCTTAAATAAATATATAGTCAGCAATTGGAAAATAATTCAACATATTTAGTTAAACATTATGAAAACATAACACTATTTGATTATTTACCAAGTATTTCAGTGAAGTGATTCATGTATCGTTGTCTGTTGTGAATTATGGATCCACCAGCTTCATACAAATTCTGTCCTATTTCTATTGTAGCCAAACGTCCGCCAACATTATTAGCTTCAAAGACATCAATCTGTACATTTTCCTTAAATAATTCATTTAAATAGTATGATGCTGACGATCCACTAATACCTCCTCCGATGATAGCTGCAAAGTGATAAATAGATTAGTAAAGAATCATGTCAAAATTATTTGTTTGTGACTTCAATACAGATACTTACCAATTCGTGGAGTGCATTGTTTTATTGAATGTGCTTTATTAATGAAGAAAGTCAGAAGCAACAGGTACAACATATTATTCATTACAACTCTGAAAGCTGTATAGCAAATATAAAGTGAAATTCGAGAACTGTTAACTTGACTGGCCAAATTATACAGAATCAATGTACAAACGTACTAATTAAAACTAGGTCTGTAAAAACTCAATAAGGCGCGCTAAAAATAAAAATTTGATAATCATCTTTTTCTTAGTACCACCCACGTATCACCTATTATATTATTTGGCTGATACTGCATCTACAAATACGAGGAAAATTAAAAATACGAAAATCAACATTTCGTCGGTATTACAGTTTCTGCGCAACATTAAACTTTAGAAGGTAACACAATGAAGGATATTTATTACAATTTACAAATTGAATTAAATTTAATTCTAATACATACTTAGCGTATATTAAATTTTACGTGCTTTTCACCTAAATTTACTGATACATAAAAAAGTAGTTATCTACAGGATAAGTTTTTTATTTTTCACATATGACCATCTATTACCGACAGAGCAGCATGTAACTACTACTAGTTTAAATTTGTATATATAATTATGAGTAAAGAATTTTTTTGCAAGACCCCAAGACCCAAATCCACTATTGATACCCATTGTCACATTGAATAACTTATTACCATTAACAGGTTATGTTCACTATAGCTGCGTCGGTAAAGCACTTAAAATTATGCGCGCGCAGAAATAGAACGGGGTGGAAAATTCCCGCAAACGTCTATTTCACAATCCCCCTTGCTTCAAACTCTACTTAGCATGGAGATGCGGAGTCCATGTATTATAAGTCCACAATCGAACCTAAATGTGCAGCAACATGTCCGTGCATGCGCAGTATTTGTTCCCAGGATGCATTAAACTTTGAATAATTCGTTAACGGCTGTTATTGTAGAGGTTGCTACGTACCATGAGTTTTCTAGAGTTGGGCGGCAGATGTACGTTTAATTACGCTATTTTCCTTTTGCCACGATGACGCAGGCTTCTCCACATCAAAGAATGAATGAAAGTCTGCTGTCGCGAACCAATGAACTGAAACGAAGGCGTTATATACGTGAGTCACTCGCGACTTGATTTGTCTGATTTATTTCAATTTGTTCTACTAAAAAAGGGCACCGTGACAATCGTTTGCGAGTCACTTGCATCGTAAAGAGATTCGTCCTTAATTGGAGCCTCAAAACCGACAAAGAATGCCCTCAAGCTGTGAGGCACAGTTACTCAGCCCCATCGTGGAGACCCCATTGTCTACTTTAAGAATCCACAAGGTACGAACAGTACAGAATATCTTATAAATATATATCGTAGCTTCAGTTACATATACTATACTATTGATTACTGGAAGAGATAAATTATCGAGCTTCATTAATATTTTGAAATTCCGATTAGGTACATTGAGTGTATTTTGAGAACAGCAATTGTCGTCATTATAACTTAATTGTCATTATAACCACTCACGTCTATCTTTGAGTCCATTTTCTTTATATCAAAATGTCAAAGTCGGTAAATGAACTTTTATTTATCTTCTTTTTTTCCTTGATGTCCAAGGGATGGTTTACTTTTGAATTTTCTGCGTCGCTAGGAATGTCGTTTGAAAATTCGCATTCACTCTCTCGTAACGAATTCGGAGCATGGAAATGTCGCTGACAATATAAGTATATGTGAAAAAAATATGTCAATTATTGAACGCAGTCGGATGTCTCGAGAATAGCGTTTGCCGCGCCATTGACTTGTGAATGCACACGTTATTACGACGTCGCACATGCGTAGGTATTCAAGGACACGTATGCAGTCCGATATGTGAAGCTTTTAACAAGCCCGCAGCCAGGTCCAGACTAAATAAAACATTAATTCGAGATCACGACGTTATTAACCTAGCAAGAAGTTGAGATTCGCCGAAAAGTGCAGATGGCACGTTCCAAATACTGAAATCTGAATTTCAGCGAAAAAGATAATGTGGAGCCATGTGTAAACTCAACCAATACTGACTCGCATTATCGTAAAGTTCGCGAATCGCGCATAAGTCTATTACTACACAGCCGTTAGATTTGTTTTGATATTAGGGGGAAGGTGGCGCCTGGTAGATTACATTTACGAATCCGAATGTACAAGCATTTATACGTAGAATGCTGGTTTAGCGTAGGAGGCTGTTAAATTTCTTTCATTTGATTATACATATATTACGTTATTTCAGGTAGGCCTATTATAGTCTGTAAGTTCAAGGTGCGTGGACGAGTGGAGACGAAGATGAGTAGTTATTTTTGTTAACGCTTAGAACGGATGGGAGGAATAAAAAAGAGAGAGACAATGTATGACCTTTGACCCTGATACCAGCTATGGCCTTGACACGGTTGAGCTATAAATCTTTCAGTATGGCTAATCGAAAGTGCCGCAAGATAAAGCGGCTCGTAAAAATTCGTTAAACTCTCGCAAATTTTCTCATTAAGACTAATTCTAGTATCCGTGGTATAATTCGCGTAGGGAACATTGGGAAGGTATGAAGTATCTTCATGAAATTTTTCTTCGTGTGATCAATTATATTATGCTTGTGTTACGTAACTTAAAAAATAATTGAGCTTTATAATGAAGGGGACCTAAGTGGATCTGCATAAATTGAATAAACTTTATTTAACATATATTTGTATTACCGATGATCAATATTATTATCGATTATTGGTATAAAGCATTGAGATGTAGATTTATATATATCTCATTATATATCCGCGATATTTGCATACAATACAGTCTTGATTACATATGTCTCAAGAATGTCATTGCTGTTATGAAAATTGCAAAAAGTTCCACTTGCTAAATATAGAAATGCCCTCATGCGAATTTCAGTTTACTTAACTCCCAGCGGATGCGCGTCGTACGAATTCGAATGGCAGGGTACGTTAAGAAGTTGCCAAAAAAAAAACAATAAAAAGTTTGTGTGACCAGTTTAAAAAAATTGTTCCCAGCATCCCTTTCCATTGGTCCATCTAACGAGAATATCCCAGTACCTCCGAACGCGCCAAGATACAACCGTAAGGGATACTCCAATTTTCAGATACGACCGAGTAAATACGCCTGATGGTGTCGAATAATAATTTCACCGTTCCGCTCGTTCTATGTAACGTATCGTCGTAAGGTCTGTATCATAAACGTATGTCGACAAGGTATACTACAGTGAAATTCATAATGATCGAAAAGCTAATTTCTGCAAACCTGTGGTCCAACTATCGGCGGGTCCGACTGACTCGTCGACGACATCAGCAGTAGCAGCAGCATCGGGTTCTCCTTGTGGTCAGGAGGAATCCTGAACCATAGAGACCCATAGAGAAAGAGAGAGAGAGAGAGAGAGAGTGACGGAGGGAGGAGTATACGTACAGTCAGAGGAAAGCAAGTGAGAGCGAGAGCAGAGGTAGCCCGATAGAGTGACTGGTGGAGGGAGGAAGTGGTGGGAGAGAATCCAGAGAGTGAGGGAGCACGAGCGCCAGAGGAGTCAGATACAGACACACCGAAAGAGCAAGAGGGAACAAGTTGTATACATATATCGAGTGAGATAGAAGGTAGTGAGGAGAGGAGAGGGAAAACCACGGGGTTTTGAAAAAGTTTTATCTTGCCGGCCCGCTCGGCCTCTCAGACGCTACCGAACGCCGGTACGGTGTGTACGGTGTTTTGACTGTCTCCCGATCAGCCTGTCCGTCGTCACGTCTATCCAATAGTCTAAAACCAATCGTGTTGTTAGTCGACTGGCCCCCGCAGTTGTCAGAGTCCACCCTTACGCCGTTAAAAATATCCAGCCATAATACGCGTCTACTGTCAACAATCGAATCGGGATCACGAGGAGGAGGTCGAACGAACGAGCGTCATGTATTGTCGTTGTTGTCGCTGAGGGCGGCGCGCGATTTTGCACGTGGCAGGATCATACGGCCCGGTCGCGTCTTGTTTTATTTTTTTTCTTTATTCTTTATCGCGAATTAACCACCTCGTAGGAGCATCAAGATGACGAGTGTATTACTAAAGAGTGTATTGCTGTTCATGCTGCTTGGTACGACCCTCGCAGTCGCCTCTGAGGTGAGTCTCAGTTCCAATAGTATCTACACTTGTGACTTGTAAAACCGTTAAAGTATCGTAGCGTCAAAAAGTAATGCTTACCAGTCGTTCCGTATTCAATTGTATCAAGACGAATCGACCCTAATGGATACTTGATGATACTTTAAGTTCGTTTGTTCGGACGCTCGAGTTTTAACGGGGCGAAGTTGTGTAACGATATATGTATGTACGTTTCTAAGAGACCGTGAAACTTTACGAGTGCTTAAACTTTTGAAAAATATACGAGCACCGTCTATAGCACTCTCTTTAAAACTTTTTTTCGTAACCGCTACTTAATACTTATTTAGAGTTATACGCTTATCGGGAGACTCGATGATAATTAGTATAGTGAGGTCATCTGCTAGTCAAATTATTCTTAAATTTCTATATCGATGTTACGTTCATTCCTGTCGATCAGCAGCGAACAGTAAGAAATCTGCTAGTCGGTAAGTTAACCTATACACGAGGGACTTAACTCGTGCTACTTTGTTAAGCCTTGTTACGTGTTATCAGTACAGAGGAATTCGTATTCGATAAAATACCTGTGACTGTAGTTTACTCGTATGATATATTTGCATCCACACGCGAATGCGTGGTTCCTCCGGGGTCACTGAATTTTTGAATTTGGTTGTACGTACTAGATGGTTATGGACGTATGTGCATTGGCATAGTGATACCACCGGCAGGGTTGGGTGTGGAGCGAATATGTGCATCGGGCTTTGGCCAATAGGCCAGGGATTGTACGTTTATAATTTGTCTTCGTTTGACGACATCCACGTTGTCAATCCTGCAGGACTATAAATTACTGAGCGATCGGTCTCGCCTGGAAAAATCATGTACCACCACGTGTCAATTGAACTTTTTTATTGGTAATATAAAAACAATAGGGAAAAAAAAAAATCATCGACTATATTTCACCGGTGTGAAAATTATAGACATGTTACTAGTTTCAATTGACAGTCCATTTGCAAAGATTTTTTTTCAGTATTTTTTGCGTATCCCCAGTACAATGTATGCCTATAATATTATCATACGAGTCGTTCGATAAAGAATCATCTTTTTGAATTTCTATTCACATGCAGATCTATCTCTATGTTATTCGTAGTTGACAAATCGAATCTGGGACGTATATATATTTAATAAATTAAAATATCGATAAGAATAATCGTATTCGAAAGTTACGTATCTACGTTGATCGGCAAATCGATATTTATTTGGCAAGATGAAAAACTTCGATCAGATTCGATTAACACGATATGATTTTATCGCGAGTTTCTTACTCGTCTTATAAAAGTCTAGTCGAGGTCAATGTGACAGCAATGTGTGGATTTAACGTAGTTTGGGGTGTCTGATATTTAGAAAAGAATCTTTTTTTTTTTTTTGGGGGAAAATACGAAACTTCACGCACGGTAAAGCGTCGACGCACTTATTCTGTGAATGAATTAACTCAATTAAAAATTCACGCTGGTTTCTTCGCGGTTCGACTTTCAAAGTGGTGAGAATTTAATGGCAACGCATTTTTTGTCTTTATCTGTGTTAGTCGCGAGTTTGAAATTCTGATGTACGTAATTGATATGCACTCATGTATGGAACGAACGTAACCCTTACTTCGGGCTGATCGACTAATTAATGTGATGAAAGGACGCGCTTCGTCAGTACTTTTAATTAATCAGTCAATATTTTTCGTTTTGTTTTTGTTGCCTATCATTTTTTAAAAATCTTGTTACTTCTCATCCTTGGGACATTAGGACAATATACTTTGACTGCGCGCTTAACGATGTTGGCAATCGTTGTCAATCCGTATATTTTTTTTGTCGTATTTAATTGCATGCAGAAACTTTTAATTACATTGGATACTTGGTCGCAGAGCTATGCAATATTTTTGTCATACTACCGTTATCGCACAGCGATAGTGCTGACAGTTATCTAGATTATCGGTCGACAGTCGAGCGTTGCTGATGATGAATTCTATGAAAACTTTGAATAGACACTGTCAAATCGTAGTTACGCCTTTTCTGCTCGTCTTTGCGGCACCGGTTAATTAAACCCTCAATACAGGTTATGACAAATCATTTAGACAGCTATAAAATAATAATTTTTGATTTGCCGATACGCGAAATATTCCGGCAATTGTCGTTAGTTTAAAACGGGACTGAAGGAAATCGTCCGTGAGGAGACAATTGAAGGCGCGAGCATTGAATTCAGAAGCTAAAGTCAAAGAACGTGCGGTACCGTTTGCCGTTCTAAAGTCGATATAGAAAGAGTAATATAGAGCAATCAAGAAAAGAATAAGAATTCTGACCTTATTACTCTGATCCGATTGGCTCAAAGTGAATTCTCATATTTAGGAATCGTACTATTTCTTTTGCCAATTAATCGACTCTCAGAAGTGACTTGATAAAAATAATTATTTCCTATAAAAAAACAATACTCGAAGCTAATTATTTATCTATGGCAAATTGGTCGACGTTACCTTGTATTTCCATTTTTTATGTCAAAACACGATTTTCAATTAGTATTCGTATCTTGAAAAATTACCGATAAGCGCACGATAGAGTCTTTGTTATCTTTAACCTGGAAAAGCGAAATGAGAAAAAAAATGTCGTGCGTCCATGACAGCGATAACAGTGACACAATTGTTATGGTGTCAGAAAAATGATGTTTTTATTATTTCTTTGTTTTTGCCGGCGATAATAAGAAGTGATTATAAAAAAAATTTTACTTTTAATAACCCGTATAAAAATTGTACTGGTTTTCGTAAAATTAATACAGCTGTTTGAAATTTATCTGCCGCGTATTGGCTAACGGATATAGCTGCTAATCGATGAGGAATTGAATTAGGTTCAAGAAGCGGGCGAAGAATGGCCACGGTAAGGATGGAACGGTGGCACGAAATTATTTAGTAATGCGATTTTAACGCGGTTATCTCCAGTCAGTACATTACATTAACGCGTTCGCATACCCGCGGGCTAAAGTTCGACCTAGGTCAATTTAAAAATGATCCTAATTTCGATCGGGCCCCGTTTAGCCGAGGCTTTAGGCATTTCAGCGTCGTTCGATTGGCACTTAGATAATTGCTGTGTTTAATTGGACGAGTAAGTAGTGACTGGCTTGGTCCCTCTTGGCAGTAACATTCGTCTTCTGTCGACTTCCGCCAATTGAGTTTTCCAGGAGACGAAGAAAAATTTGATTATGGATGATCCGAGGTCTCTTTTGGGGAGAGCGCGGTATAAGGTCGAAGTATCTCTTTGTCACGTTTCTTTTCATTTGCTTCATCTCGATACTCTGTCAATGGCCAGAAGGCGTTGGATAGTTCGAATTTGAATGCTAGAAGATCCCGTAGGCAGCAGGACGCGATACGAAAGATTTGTACCTTATGAAAAATATGGTAATGTTCTCAGGATACGTGCCGTATGGGCAGCTCTATACGAGGATTTATATCGATGCTCTGCAGAGGTCATGGGGTCATAAGGGGTTACTATATCTCGAAAAATGGCGCCTCGCGCAATTTCAAAAGTTAATGTTATGGAGAGAGAGAGAGAGAGAGAGAGACTACCTCTAGACTTGTCAAATTGGCGATACGATATTTTCATCAGTTCCATTAGATTGTTTGGTAAAGTTCTTAGGATTTCTATGGTTTCCATGTACATGCAATGCAGTGGATTTTATTTCTCTTGTGAAAAATTATAATTGGTACTTCAATCTCTTTGCTGGTTAAACTTTAATTCGAGATAAGTATGAGCCTTTGACATTCCATTCTATTCCATTGAATTACACGTGTTGTTTTGAGCCGATGAAAGAAATTTTTTTTCGTTCAATGGGTGACGAATAATTTAAAATTCGAATCCACGTGCGTTAGAGAGGTTTAGGATATATTTTGACAAGTTGAAAAAAAAAAATTCTTCCATACTTGACCCGATGTCAAGTCCAAAATATAAATCACGTGTATAAAAAAGGACAGAGAACTCGTTGGGTCGCATACACGTTACACGGCAGAAGTGGAGGCAGACGTAAACAGTGAGAAGAAAGAGAGAAAGAGAGTGGGCCCAAAATAAACATGATGGGTCAGCTCGGAGCTGCCATAGATTTAAAGGAGAAAGGCCAACGCCATCTAGAAACTTATGGGGACCACTCTTGCCATCCGAGTGGTCCCGTACAAAAGGTCGTACATCAAATACCGTAGCAGCTTGTACTAGCCTGCGTAAAAACATATGGACCCAGCTTAGTCTCCCATGGCAAAAGGTGTCCCATAGTTTGAGAATTAAAACCACGATGTATTACGCCACTGGCTACATCTCGTAAACCAATCGGTGAAACGTGCCGTATTACACAAGAGACCCATAGTGCTCTGATGTCATATACGCCGATGTTATGGGTCTTGTCGTGATGGAGTTAGTTATTCGTTACGGTAGTAAAGGTTAAAAATACAGTTTGCGTGTCGCGCCAGTTAAAAATATCGTAACGTTCCACTACGACCCTGCGTACCGTTCGCCATTAATTACCAACTCGAGGAAAGCTCGTACTTTGCACTTGGAACGCAGACAATTTTGGATGGCAATTGGGACCGGTTGCCGGGACGATTTGCTTAGGCGCATGCGCAATGCAGTCCCACAAATAAAATCTCACGGAACGGACAGACTCGGAACGAATCTGCAAAAAGTCGTTATACGTACTTTGTATGAACCTAACCTAACTTATCATAATACCAGATGTACCTTACGTAAGAGCAAGTCGTCTTCCAGACTGTTCCAGTGCATCGTGGTAAGTGCACGAAGGACAGTTGAAATGATAAAAAGTAGTGAGCAGGAGAAAAAAGAAGATATTCTACTTGTGTGACTTGTAGGATTGTGCGAGCGGTGATGTCTTTTTTTTTTTTTTCCAAAAATTGCATTACGGTTACAGTTGTTTACGCGGAGGTGTGTACGTATCTACGGATCGTCATTATTATGCTTTGATACTTGTATTTCTGAGAATGGTCATTA